TAAGCTTTTTCCTAGTTAAGTTTGATAATAAGACCTAGATCTTTTGCCAAATGTCTCGAATGGACACATTCGTGAGCCATGAGGGCCCCATCGAGGATCTGTTGATTTTTTATGAAAGCACTTTGGGTTGTAGAAATAACCAGAGGAAGGAAGGACCTCCTTGAGACGAGAGGCTAAGACTTTGGAGATAATTTTGTAGGTGGAGTTCACCAAACTAATGGGGCGATAGTCTTTAAGCTGTGTTGCTCCTTCTTTCTTGGGAATTAGAGTGATGAAAGTGGCATTCATTGCTTTATGGATTACCCCTCTAGTATGAAATACTTCGAAGAGGTCGAGAAAGTCCCTTCGAAAAGAATCCCAAAAAGACTTGAAAGGGGCTAAAGGAAACCCGTCAGCATCAGGTGCCCTATTGGAGTCCAAGTTGGAAATGGTTGCAAGTATTTCAACTTCTGAAATGGTCTTTCAAGCCAGATGGCTTTCTCAGGAGGCAAAGAGAGGAAAGACATATTCCCCATTATTGATCTAGGACCTTGAGGTGCGGAGAAAAGGTTAGTGAAATAGCACAGAATGGCCTGTTCTATTTCCAGAGGCTGTTCAAGAGGGTTTTCCCCCACCTGTAGGTGAGAGATGGTATTAACTCTTTTTCTACAATTTGTCGTTGTGGAAAAAACCGGTATTAAGATCACTGGCCTTCAACCACTTGATACGGGATCTTAGGTACCAGAAGATTTCCTCCTTTCTAAAGGTGGCCTGATAATTCGATTTAAGTTGCACCTTACTCTGGAATTCACTATCCGACAGAGGCCTGGACTCTTCCTGAGCATCAAGGTTCTGAATTGCCTGCAAGTGTACTCTTCTGAGAGGCGAATGAGCTTGACAACAACATGCTTCAGGATTTGAGCTGGTTCTTTCATGAATATTAGATATCATGTAGAATAGTAATAGGAATTGTACCTAGATTCAACTGCCAAAAAAAAAAATTCAAATAAAATCAAAGAGAAAAAATGGGGAAACCTTAGAAATGAAATGAATAAACTAAATGGAAAAAAAGAAAAAGAAAATAAAAAATTCCCATCATCACGTGGAAATACTTTAATGCTTCTGATATATAATTTGTGAGGGACTTAGAGGAAGGGACATGTGAGTTTGAGTAGCTACAAGTTGTGGAATGGAAGGAGGCTACATTATGTTGAGGCAAGTTGTATTTATGAAGGAGCAGTTAGTAAGAGTATTGTGGACTCAGAAGTTTGATATGATGCATATTTTTTTTGATAAAGTGGACTGTATATATTTAATATGATAGGTCCATGATACGTCATTGTCTTTGCTATACAGAAGGTAAATATACGACATTTCCAATGGCGAGAATGATGGTTCTGCAAAATGGGCAAGAGAACAAGGCGATGTCTCTCACAGGCTGTCTAGGCTGTGGTACAACAGATGATCATGAGGCTGTCATTGAGCGCTCCCTGTTGCGCCAGCTGGTCGGCAACCATGTTGGCATTGCTTGAAATGTTTTTTTGAAAGTGTTATCTATTCTATTCTATTGAGATAAGAGAGAATTACAAGTGTCAAAAAATTGGCTTTCCCACAAGTCGGGTACTCTATAGAAAAAATAAACTGCCTGCGGAGTGGGAAGTACAAAAAGTATAAATGTTACCCACATACGAGTAGCCCTATACAAAAAATAACCGAGGTTAGGTAAACATTAGATACAAAATTTGCCTATGCCGAGTGTCATGCTATACTAATGGAGGCTCCCTCCTTAGCGAGGGTGTTGCTCTCTGAGTTGGCTTTGCGCTAGATATGCCTCCATGAGACGTCCATATCCCTGTAATTATGCGCAATTTCATAAAAAATGTGGACAAGCAACCAGGGACAAGGAGACGCGGCCAAGGCCCAATGGATCACATTCTTGGAATCTCCCTCAATGATTAACGATGGGCCCCACTATGGGTTGAATAACCTCAGGCTCTCAAGCAAAGCTAGAGTCTCCGCAGTTTGGGAGTGTCCAATATGCTTGGAGAAGGATCGAAGGGAGTGACGTCCGTTGTCTTTGAAAATTTCCCCAATGCTTGCGGGTCCAGGGTTGCTATGGGAACAACTGGCAAAATTCAGTTTGATTTGTCCTGGGTTTGGGGGTCTCCACAATAAGGCACAAGGGACACAACACGGTGTATAGCATAGCGGGGCCTGCCAGTCTTGAATGAAGGCTGAATGGGTGTAGTCCTTGAAACGTTTGTGGTTAACTGCTCAAAAAACCACCAGGGATGTAATCTTGTAAAATAGGCGCCTTGACAACAATCTTTCCCCTTGAAAGATCTTGTTATTTCTCTCGGTCCAGATGATCCAAAGAGTCGCCACAACCGTAGCCTTCCACAAGATGATGAAAGACTTGGGCCAAGGGAATGGGAAGGGCTGGGAAGACACACAGGATTGAATGAGGAGTAACCCAAAGCCACTTGAATAACCGAAGAATGGCTCCCCAAAGGTCCTGGGCTAAGGGGCACAAGATGAAGAGGTGGGTGTTGCTTTCTTCATCTGACAAACGCAATGCACTTCTATTGGGGATCGGCATTCCCCTTCTTTGAAGTTGGTCCACCGTCAGCACTCATTTCGATAGAGCAATCCAATTAAATACTTAGATTCTAGGGGTAGCGATGGAGGACCAGGCCTGAGTAGAAGTGGGGGCTAGGGGAAAGGTGGGTGGTTGGAGAAGTTTGTGGTAAAAGGAAGAGATCGGAAAAGTCCCAGAGCGTGAGGGGCACCAGAAAATGCAGTCGGATCCCTGTAGAGTGATGAAAGTAGAAATGGGGAATGGAAGAAAGGTGGATAAAATCATCAATCTCTGAGTCTATGAGAGGTCTCTGGAAAGTGGGATTCCATGTTCGAGAGGATCCTGAGACCACCATGTCATCGGCGACATTGGCGAACTGGTTCTGGGTAAGGCCGAAAAGGGATGGAAAGATATTTGAGGGGGTTGTACCCAATCCAAAATTTTACGGTCGCCCTTCCCTAGGGTGGAAACGAATAAAGTTTTTGAAGAGGCTATAAGAGGGGAGGATGGATTTCCAGGCCCCTGAAGCCCTAATGTTGGTTCTACAGTTAGGCATCCAGTTGGAAAGGTAGAGGCGATATTTTTGACGGATTACCTAGATCCATAACTGGTTCTCAGAGTAGCAAGACACTACCACCACTTCCCAAGGAGGGTTGTGTTATGCTTCTCAGATCCTGGATGCTGAGGCCTCCAAGTCGTTTGGGCTGGCAGACATTCTCCCATGAGATGAGGTGGAATTTCTGCTGCTGGCATCATTGAACCGAAGGAATTGCTTCATGAGTTGCTCGAGTCTATTCTTCACAGCTGCGGGCATGTGAAAGATCGACATTTGGAGAGGTGGTCTTTGTGAGGGTAGTCCTTCCTGCCTATGAGAGAAAACGTCCCTTCCACCCTGCTAGTATCCGGTCTACCTTGTTTATAATGTAGAACCATTGTCTCATCTTCAGTTTGCCCACACAAAGGGGCAAGCCCAGGTAGTTCGAAGGGAGAGTTGTTTGGCCAGATGGATGGCGTGAAAATTGTTTGGCCAGATGGTATAATGTACTCTTATGAATTAAGTAGAGATATTAAGAAGACTATTATTATCTACCCCAAAAAACAAGTAGAGATTATTAAGAAGGATTGGTGACAAACCCGAGCCACGTTTAGGACCATTTGATATGGCAGGCAATGTGATAATGGGACATGATTGCTGGCTTTGTGATCCAACATTGCTGGAGTAATGACCTTAATGTTTTGCCATTATGGAGTTTGATGAATCAGGTGGAGGCTAAAAAGGGGTTGGTGAGATTGAGGGGTGTGACAAACTTGAGTTGGGCTGAAAACCATTTGATGTGGTGAATAACATGGAAAATCTGACAAGGTTGCTAGGTTTATGACCCAATGGAAGGAATTTTGTTTGTTCAACTTATGAGGGACATTATCATCTTACAGAATCAAAGTTTGCATGCTGATGGCTGTTCAATGGACAATCCAGGTGCTTAAGGTTTCATTGGGGTCTTAGATATAGCATGAGATGAGATGTGTTTTATAATCCTCTCTGGAACCGATGCTGTTTCATGATTCAACTGTTTTGCTATGTTTATCTGGTTGAGGCTTTCTGTCCTTAATCAGTGCCACTTATTGTTGATTTAGATTCTCTTAATGCAATCAATGGGCATGGAAATTGTCCCACCCCCCCCCCCCAACCTGGCTTATGGTGGGCTATGGAACAATTCCCATTTTTATGTGGTTCCATGAGGTGCACCTTTAGCCACATTTCTGGGGAAGTTGGTGATTTGGTGAATAGGCTTGCTACGGAAGGGATTGGGCTTGGCTCATGACATATCTGGGATCCTTAGGATCCCCAATCTCTACCCATTATTATATTGTATTCTGCTTTCCTGTCCAATTTACCCTTTTTTACAAAAGTGGGACCAAATCCTGTGTATGCCAGAATGAAGAAGCACTAAGTGGATTTCTGGAAATGGGACTTTCTCCTCTCTTGCCAAGTAGCTTGAGGGTAAAGAATTAACAGGAGAAACTTTAGAAGAATTCAATTGCTTCACTGAAAATGAGAAGAAGATACTCTACTCCCCTGAGAGGAGGTTTGGAGCTGTCCGTTTTGACCAGAAGTAGTTAGTGGTTACATGGCATTTCCAATGAGCCAAACTTCATTTTGACTAATTTTCAGTTCTAGGATATAAAATCAGAAAATTGCATTTCATTTTGACTTATTGTTTGGTTTGATCCAACACTAATAAAATTAAATGCTACAATTTTTGGCACCGTGTGCTGCTCATATTATTTTAACTGCTTCTTGTCGACCACAGTTCTTAATGACACATCGTTTTTGTTCACCTTGTTTATACAGAATATTTTTCTTGGTCATGTTTACAGTTGCAATGCCTATTGTTTCTTTGCCAGTGACCTAATTGTTTCTTCATTCTCCTTGATGATGCAGGTTCGACATTATTACTATCGTCTCATTAGAAGAATGAACAAGCTTTTGGGTCCTGGGTTCACCCTTGATGCCAAAAATTCAAAAGATGCGAATGCTGCCATGCTCCGATGGTAAAATAGTGCTCTAGTTTTTTAGTCAATGTCTTAGAATGAAGAGAGGGGTTTTGGGGGGTGGGGTGGAGGACAAACTCCTTTCTATTTTTAATTTATTTTGTTTTGCCTTCAGAAGATAGGCGGGAATGTATATAGTAAATCATGTGGTTTGGCCATACTTTTCTACCCTTACAATCAATAGGTTAGCCATGCTTCGTTCCATGCGGTGTTTTTCCTCCCAAGCCCTATGTGTTACATATTTTGGCTGTTGGAGAATTTCTCCTTATATGTGCTTAACTTTTTCTATCAGAGAGATTTTGTGGATATGTATTTAACTTTCGTCTAAGTCTTCTTCTAGGTGGTCTTTACTTGAAAAGCAAAGCTGCTCAGCATCAAAGCTTCATTTGAAGCCTAGGCGGTTCAAGACGTTTGTAACTGCTCTGGTTAGTCAGGCATTGCCCTGCTTTTTCCTGTGCATTCTTTGTTACTTGAGCTTTAAATTTTCTTCAGATGTAGTGGAATGGATCAGTTTTCAAATCATCATCAAAATCCTTAATGGACCACTTTTCAAATGAATAATCAATCCTTTTCTGTACTCGAAGGGGGACCAACTTCTGAAGGATCGTAAAAAGACAAGAAAGCAACCTGCCTCGGTTGACCAAGGCACTCCATCGTCGTTGACCATGGTTTCTTCCCCGACTAAAGTGCCTGGAAATGATGCTCGTGTGGCGAAAGTGTCAACTGTTGATAGTCAGAATATGCAAAAGATAGGGTCTGGAAAGGGAGCTTCCTTGAAGCGGAATATGGGCATTAATTGCGGCAAGGGTGACTCATCCTCTGTGAAGAATTCAAAGCAACGTCGTAGAACGACAAGTGAGTCTTGACTTTTTGTGTTGGTTAGGGTCATCTGCTGTATATTGTGGAGCAATTAGTCTTGTTAATGTTGGAAAGGTCGACTTGGGCCGGGTACTCGGCCCAGGTCCGAGCCGAGTACTCAGCCCGAGTTGGGCAGGTTTCTGGCCAAGCGAAAAAGTGTTTAAAGAAATTACAAAAAAAAAACCCAAAATAGGAAAAATACGTTTAAAGTAAAATTAAACAAAATACATCTAAATGAGGTTAAAAAGAGTTGTGGAAAAATGGATTTTGAAAAAATCAATTTGTGACAGTTATTTTAGAAATAATCCAAAAGAAGTGAAAATGTAAAAAAGAAGTATTCATGGCCAAAACACTTTCCAATTTTTGTTAGAATTATAGAAAACATAAAAACATATTGCAAGTAAATCTCTTATTTTTTTGAAATTTTTATAATTTATTTTTTCCCAACTTGGGGATACTTGGGCTTGTGAGAGTAGCGAGTCCGAGTTACTTGGGTGAGTCTGAGTTGGCTCGCCCAAGTAAACAAACACTGGTCTTGTATTGTTTTTCTCAGAACATTCCGCATCATGTACTGTTGAAGCTTATCAACTGACGGTTCAACTATGTGACATAGTACACATTATGCTTAGTGGTTTGTTAGAGTTGTAGCCTGAAATATTTCTGAAGCAGAACTAGAACTTGCAGTTCACCTCAGCCACAGACCACTTCTGATATGCTTTAGAAATTGTTCAGGTGACTTTTAAGCCATGCATGGTTGTTGTTGGGTAAGTTGATTTGAGAAGTTGCAAATGGGTTATTATTTCCTCGTTTTGCTTTTCGTGAATTTTACTTGCTTAAAAAAATAGTGTATTTGCCAAAGCTGGGTTTTTTGATCTATCTGAAATTTCTGATCCAATTTTGTGATTTTGCTTTATGTTCTTGTAGCGTGCTTGCACTCTCTTTTCTATTTTTTTAAATTGACTTTTAAGATAATGTAGATGGAGGTTGTCTATACATCATCTTGACAACATTTACAATTTTTCTTCATGTGGAAAAAAATAAAATAAAGAAGTCACAGCCTCTCCTAATGAACAATAGTATTACCATTGTGATGTTCTTTGACATATGCCTATTTAATTTGGCAGGTAATGTTTCTTCTGCTGCATACAAAAGGTGGGAAAAGGCTGCAATTGCTGGGGTCTCACTGGTTGCTGAAGCTGCCGAACACCTAGAACGGACATCAAAAACTCCGGTTTGTGATGAACTGCCTCATAGGATCCTTACGTCTGCGGATGGTAATTTCTTTCTTTCTTTGTTTGATAGTTAGCTTTCATTTACAGAGTGCATCACCCAAATAGAAATTACAATTGCTCTTGCTAGTCACCTTGATTAGTCTGCCAGTTTTCACAGGATCTGACTTTTCCTTCATTTACATTCAAGGTATCTTCTGGCACAAGTAGTAGGTCAGATAAAGGTTCCATCAAAATAATAATCTCACTAAGAGCATCAATAGCTTCTGCTTAGGTAGAATCTGACACCCTGTGGATCCCACAAAAGTCTCTTTAACCATGCCCGGCTCAATCCCTATAAACCCTGTTGCCGTCCATGATTGCAAAATGTGCAACCCCCGAAATAAACTTGAATATGCCCCTAGGGGGTATCTGTCCATACTCTCCTATCTATTGTGGGGCTTCGGTGCTGTACATTAGAGCTTTTTTGAGATCAGTGAAGCCTTATTTGTGTCTTTGTCTCACATTCACTATTAAACTAATTTGGTGGTACTCGCTTGGCATCTATTCTAGTTTTTGTGTGGGTGATGCCACCTTTCATATGTCTTCATGGGAGGGTGTCTCTCGATGGCAATGTTTGTGTCATTCCTATTCTCTTGTACACTTTAACAATGTGAAAGAAACATCATGTGCATTTAAACATTATGTGCATTTTTAAATGCATGTGAATTTTCTGTTGCTAATGAACAAGATGTGAAAAGATTTGATGTGAATGAACATGAAAAATTTCTGAGCATATCTTCCTTGTTGGCAGATCATGGTAATCTTGGTTTGGGGGACAACGTGGATAGGCCTTTACCCTTACCAGAATCTCCATCCAGGTGCCGGCAAATGCATGTGACAAGAACTAGCCATTTACCAACTAAGGCATGTCCAGCAGAAACTGGGCAAAATGTGCAACCTTTTGTGAAGCTCAAGTTGCAGTTGTTTCCTATAGATGAATCTACTCGAAGGGGATTGGAAACGGTAGGGTAGAAAACTTATTATTGTTTGACCTTTTAGGATTGGTTTGAGTTTAAAAGTTGAGGCAATTAAGGCTTGAGTACTGACCATTGTCTGTGTAGGACGAAATTAATCCACACTTGCAGCTCACTTTAAGATCTGGGAAGAAGATACCTTCAGTTTTAGATCACCTCAATCGCAAATGGGGTCACTCAAGTGTGGCATCAGGGGAGCTCATGCTTTTTCCTTATGATGCTCAGCAGGAAAATTTGGATAGCTGTCAGAGATGGACAATGAAAGAAACTACTCTCTGTGCTGCAGATTTATATGCTATTCTTGGCTATCCTGAACTTTTTCGGCTTAGGTTGGCTGTTGGTTGTCTTATTGCAAAAGATTGGATTCGATTTGAACAACATCTTCAATCTCCTCCTTTTGACGCAACACTTTTTCCAGGTATGGGTGGTTCTCCGATACTGGCACTTTTGGAGACACTTCTCATAGTTTTGATGATTGCCTGCGATCTGGGGACATTCAAGACATGAATGACAAAATAGATGAGGCTCAATTGCCCATTGCATCTAAGCAGGAAGGTGAAGGTGAGCGTATTCATACTGTGACGACTGAGCAAATGATGGAGGAGGATGCCATTGTTTCAGCAGGCAAGCTTCCCGAGTCCTGGGTGAATCAGCTGGAAACTATATCTTCTTATTGGCTTAATGAGAAAAGCATAGATGGTTCTATACGCAAGCTCTTGGAGGATACGGTAGTTTCAGTTTCTCTATGTTTTCGTATTTTAATCACTTTGATGTGCTTGTTTGTGTTACCCATGATTACCTAATCATTCTATGGTGGCATTTTGTTCTATATATACATATAGGATAACTCAAAGACACGCCCATTGTCAGCAGGGGATTGGGGTGACAACCTCACCACTATTAGTGTGGGTGACCTGTTGTCAGAAGCCTCACGTGCAGAGCATGCCGTCAGCAGTGCTGCTCCCTGCCTCCCTCCATTCATCTCTAATTCTTTCGATGCTTCCTTTGCTGCTACCCATATGCGTGAGCGTCAGGATGTCACCACCACTCAGCTGGCCCAGGCATCGTCCATTTGGGATGCTGAGGAAACTTGTGATGGGTTTGTATTCCGAAAGAACAAACTGCCCATGGTTTCATCATCCAAGGATGCTGCAGCAGACTCTCAAGATGCCTCTGGAAATCCAACAGTGTTCTCGAATTTGGCTGAGGTTTGGTTAACACTTAGCCGTTATTTGTATCATATTGTATCATGTAATCGAGTTTGGTCATGGAGAGGATACTATATTTTGTATTAGTATAGTGTTCAGGTGCTTTAACCCAACATCCATTGTCTGTGCTTCCATGGGCAGTGGAGTTAGCAATCGCTCCCGCTGAAAATATTAGGATAGCTAAAAAGTTGGGCGGCCGCTTATCACCCACCATCCTTGGATAAACATGAATGATAGATATTGGGCCTGAGTACTCTATTGCACACTTATACAGAGTATGGGATATTTTCCCTTTGGTTATTGACTGGTCTTGCTTTGTGATGTAGCTGAGTGAAAAGAGACCGTCTGACGGCGTCGTATGCCAGGAAGATCTGAAATACAACATGCAAAGTCACAAAGAAACCATTGGCGATGGTGTAAATAATTGTGCAATGACAGACTTGTTTTGGGTAATTTCACCTCTCCCTGAAAGATTTGTGTTTCTAAATGCCTCTTTGAAGCCCAACTTCTCTCATGTGGTTGACCTGATTGGTTTTCTGATGGACTCAGGCTGACTCTTTAGGGTCCTTGGACATGTGCATGCCGTACCCGAGGTACCAGTTTGAAGAAAGTGCTAGCCTCGCGGGTCTCATAGCCAGCAGTTTAGATGCACTTCAGAATTGCTCGTTATTTGGAACAGTCAAGAAGTTTGAATCCCAGCTTCCCCCTCATGCTTCTGGAGATAAATCTGGAAACCTAGGCGAAACAATTGAGAAAGAGCACCCGAATGACACATTTCCTTTTGGAGGCAACGATTCAAAGCAGGCATGTGCCTGAGGAGCCAAAGAAACACGGCTTTTGCTTTTGTAACAGAAACTTGAGATGGGGAAATCTCAGGATACAAGTCAAGAACTCCAAGAATTCTTTTGGCACTAGGTGGTGAAGAGGTTGGGGACAAGTCAATTATCATTCAGGAGAGATGGTTAGAAATGAAGAAGGATTCGAGGAATGTCACAAATCAATGCTGGATTGATTTAGGAGAAAAGTATGGTTAACCCAGATGCAGTGGGAACCTTTTCTTTTCTGCTTGCTGGTTGGCGATGAAAGAAATCGGGGAAGTGAAGGGGATAAGATACAAAGGTTATTGTGGAAAAGGTGGTGATGATGCATGTTTCGTCCCTTCTACCACTGAAGGGCTCATGGTTAGTCAAGGACGATAATTTTGATTAGTGGGATGCTCTTTGGTTTGTGTGATATAACTTACAGGTGGATATATTTTGACCCAGCTAATGCACTCACGTGTATCTATTTTTTTTCTGACAATGAAATTTAATTTTCAGTCTGTATGCTATACAAACCGTCAGTCTGTATGCTATACAAACCCCCCGCCCCCCCCAATTCCCCCTCCACCCCTCTTTTCATGACCACATGTTGCTTGTTCATGAGGAGGATGAACAGCTAATGCAGTTATTGGTGGACACAATGAAGAACCACAGTTATGGAGCAAATTACATTTGAAGTGGGACATTTACATATTGATTCATTGGCTTGCGTTCTAGCCATTTGATAAGCCCTTAGGCTAGGTGTTCAACTTCTGAGATAGAAAGGAGATAAAGTGTATTTAGAAATCTTTCATGACGTGGTCGCCACAATCATTCATGTCTTTTAAATTTCAAAATGGGTGGTTATAAGAGTGTCGATACATTTTTTTTTTTAAAAAAATAATCTTGGACTTCTTAACTTACATCAAATCATCCAATAAATGGGAATGATTGTTACTGTCATGTACAGAAAATAGCGGTTTTTTTGTAGACAATCCCTTATAGTAAACATTTTCTTTGGGTAAGGAGTTCATTGGACGGGATTAGTCTTTGTAGACAATCCCTTATAATAAACATTTCCTTTAGCTAAGGAGCTCATTGGACAGGATTAGCACAACCCGAGGGCATTTCTTGATTATTGTGATTGGTCTCCGTACACCTCTAAAGACCTAAGGTCTGGACAGGATACCAATGGGGATTTGACAAATCCTGTTAAAAAGGTTGTGGTCTACAACATCTCAACCTAACAGGAAAAAATGCAATAGCACTAGTTACTGCCCTGCCCTCGAGTGGAGTGAGCAATACCGACCAAACTGGTAAAATTTCTGAATATTTAATGCATTGTGTGGTCTATCCCGAGTAGAGCTAGAAAAAGCTAAGGAGAAACTGTTTACCCTTTTCCTTGTGGTCCCATTAAGATGGGAGTGGATCTCCTGCTTTCAAGAGATTAGCTGGGGGGTTGTTGGTTGGTTAGTTGAGATGGATCCTACTGCATTGATGATGGGTAGGAAAGTTGAAAATTTGTAATGGATCCTATCAGTCGGGAAAAAAATAAAATCCTACCAGTGAATGATAGATCTCAGTCATCGTATGTTGCAGCATTAGATGGATGGATAGAAAATGATGTCATTGTATACAGTCCCTAATATCAGAAATAAATAAATAGGAAATTGAGGTGTGAATGTGATCAAGGGAAGGGTACAAAATGTCGTGTTGTTGTGAAGGCGTTGCCTGGTACCCACTCACAAATGGATTGGGTGCATGCTTTGAAGGCGACTCATGTCGTCGTTATATACAATTGGATGGTATAAAGTGGCGGTTGACTCGAATCCCTTATTACAAACAAATCCGTGGGCCCACTCCACCTCCATCTTTTCATACCAAACTCTATTTTCTTGCATGTACGTACTGAGGATATATGGTAATGCTCATTCGTCGTCATCATCATCATTATCATTATTGTTATTATTATTATTAAATCCAAGTAAAAGATATGGGTTTGGTTTGGTGAACTGGAATTGAGGTAAAAAATAGAAAACTTAAATGAGTGATTTAGTTATAAAAAATAAGAAATAAAGTTATGGTACAAGGAGATCACAACTATTATTGAATATTATATGTAAAATCAATAGGTAAAAGATGTGTCATTGACTAAGCATAAAGTCCAAAATAAAATTTCTTGAATATTTTGATATACTTCAATAATTTCACAATGAACAATTGAGAAATGCGACCTTATACAAAAAATGGAATGGTCTTGTAGCATACAGTCATTAACAAAATAAATCAATCAAAGCTGAAGAGAAATTGAATGAGAGAGATTTGGCGAAAAAACTAAGAAGTTAGTTCTATGCCAAATCTAGGTATAGTTTACAAGTTCTCTTAAAAAGAAAGGAAATCCTCCAAGGAGATTTCAGTTTATTCTTTGAAATATCATCCGAGGAACCTTGAAGATGACCCCATAATTTTCCGTTTGCGTTGATATGGTTGAGTGAGAGAGGAGGGTGGAGCAGCATTTTGCTTTGGTAAACGCCTTTCCTTTCCTTTCCTTTCCTTTGAGTATTAAAAATACTTGCCCCATAATGCACACAACTGCCCTAACGTAAAACTCATCCATCCTACTAATATTCATTAAGTATACATGAGGCCTATCCTTTATTATAAAATGTAATATGCACCTCTAAATCCTGCCTGAGGGAAGTTAGTAAAATTGATTATCTAGATTTCAACAAAATGGATTTGGACAAAAATATATTAAAGTAAGGTGCACCTTCAAATAGTATCGAAAGATGTTGTTTTAGTACCGAACATCTTTATGATAGCCTGAAAATTTGTTTTCATATCTAATTATACAATTTAAAGCTTAAAAAATAGTGTAGATTAAGTAGATAGTGGAAATCTTGAAAATTGAACAGCCTAGATAATGCATTACAGGATGCACTATTTCCAAAATTTGAATCCATTTCTTTTTTAATCCGCTTATCTCATGGTCGAGATGATTGGATTGGAGGGTTCTTTGGCATCAAAACAACTTCTTCTAGTAAATTTTTTAGGTGCGTCTTAATTTAAATGCTTAGAGCCTCGAACTTATATAAACTTTTTCCTGAGCTTCAAATGTTACAACGAGATTAAAACAAACTTTTGAATCATTATAAGAGTTTCAAGTATTGGAGTAAGAAATTCTAAGTTCACCGTTAGTGTATTCTAGAACAACTCATATATATTGGGTCAACATCTAATGTTTCCTTGGTTTGGTGGGAAGAAGAAGTATCGATCGTTATCAAATTAACTGCAATCTTTTTAGGATCCCATCAAAGGGCCCCGTGAACTAGATGAGAAGAGGTCTCTCTCTCTTGGTTTGATGACTCGCAAAAATCCAAGATCATATTTCTTCTTCCCCATGTAAAAATATTATTCCAAGATCATATGTCTTCTTCCTAATGCAAAAATATTATTCGGGGTGGCAAAGGACCCAGAGCGGATTCAAAAATAAAAATATATAAATTTAAATGTCATAACTAAAAATATCATTATATTCATTTAAATTTTAATTAAATATTATTAAAATAATAGATATTAAATGTTACTTATAATAATATTATTCGGGTCGGATCCACATGGATCTAGACTTGTACCCGAATAGTGTTTGGATCCAATATTTGGACCCAAACTCGGCCCGAAAGGTTTAAGTCTTGGACCCATACCCGTGCCAGGTCAGGTCTGGATGTTGGGTCCATGGTCAAGCGGGGCTCCATTGCCACCCCTACCAATGTTATAGAGGCTAAATTTGTCCCGTTCCCCCAAAAAATTATTAATGTTGTTTTATGAACGATAAATCCTAAATATAAAAAAATAAAACACAAAGCCACTTTGAGGGTTGTTTCTTTAATGGATTTATTTTTTATTTGAAAAATAAAATGTGGATTATTTATTGGATACAGTTTGTATAAGGCTTAGGTTTTATGAAAACAAAGAGTCACCTTGATTTTCGAAAAAGCATTTTGGGTATTGAAAATCTCTATGACGGTTCTAAAATTATTTTTTAACACTGATTATGAATTTTGAAACTCATAAAATAGTGTGCAGATATGTGAACCTTTGGTCATAGGGTGAAATCGACTATCTATAATGTACTACGATATACACAATATTTTTACGGTTCGAAATCCTTTTTTTTTTTTTCGCAACCAAGGTGGAGATAACCAATTCGAAAGTTGGAACTACAACTTTGAGTGTGTGTGTGAGACTTTGATAGGATTGCAGCCCTATCTTCAAAACATTTTCCTTATTTATTTATACCCCAACAAACACTACGTACATATTAGGGAGATTCCCTATCCATGTTATCTCCCAAGAAAGAAGCAAAACCTCATATTTCTATGGCGTGGTTTTGTATTGGGGGCTTTTCATTTATATATTTATCTTAGTATTCCTAATATTATTACTATAATAATGTCAAGAAAAAAAAAAAAAAAACTTTACGCGCCAAACAAGGTGGCGTTCCCAGGAAACCAACTGTGTTGCGTTGTTTGTATCTTCACTTTTATTCCCTCATTCAATCGTAATGCGGTGGGGGAAGAGACACAGCAGGAGTGAATGAGTGCTCTCTCTCTCTCTCTCTCTCTCTCTCTCTCTGCGTTCAAACCCTAACCCTAATGAAATGGAAAGAAAAAGTCAAACAAAAACGAAACGGTTGGCTACTTGGTTTGTAGTAGGGAGGATAGTGGGCCTGACCCAACTCCGTGACAAGAATGAAAGAAGATGCAGACGAATGCATCCTCTCCCCTCACCTTTTTTTATCTTTCCTCTCTCTCTCATGGGACTTCTCTGCTCTGCTCCTCCGTTTATTTCTCTCTCCTCCCTCCCCTCTCTCTCTTGTTCTTGTGCCTTATGATGATGCAAGTAAGTTGAGTTGGATTTTGGAATGGAATTGAGGTGGATTAGCTGATGGAGAAAGGCAATAATATGTAAATAGATGTTTGAACACACAATCATGCAAGAGAGAGATAATATTATAAGATAATGATTTAGAGGGGGAGTAAGAAGGCTACTCTACTTTCCCCACAAGTAAAATGTAAGAGGAAGAGGCACACAAACGCATCCAGGTAGTGTGTTCAGCTGTGTGTTGTGCAGTGCCAATGCCAGGGGAAGGAACAGCAAGTATATAAGTAAAAGAAAGAGATTCTTAACCCAAAATCCCACTCTTGTTGTTATTACAACGACGGAAATTGGAGAATGATGTTCACTATTCCTGCTATTATTATGACAGTGTTGGTGTTTTGTAACACCAAGAAGAATGGTGGCTTCTCCTTCTTCTTCTTCATCTCAATGTCATGGTTGGGCATGGCCATTATGGTGGTGCTGCTTTCTTCTTCGACAAGCGCAGCGGTGGTTAGTTATGACCACAGGGCCCTCCTCCTCGATTCTCAACGCCGACTTCTCATTTCGGGCTCCATACATTACCCACGCAGCACTCCAGAGGTTAAAACAACACCCCACACAGAGTCTCTTTTTTATATATTTCTTTTTCTCTTCGCTTTTTCACTTAACATGGCTGCTGCATGCTCTGCATACAAATAAGCACAGATGTGGGCGGACCTCATTCAGAAATCAAAGGAAGGGGGCCTCGACATCATCGAGACCTATGTTTTCTGGAACGTCCACGAACCAGTCCAGAATCAGGTTCGCGCTCCTCTCCCTCTCTCTCTCTCTCTCTGCTAATACAGAAGATAAGAGAGAACGTATTTATATATGTGATTCTTTAAGCCTCATCTTTCATTTTGTTATTAAAGGGGGTGGTGGTGTGTGCAGTACAACTTCGAAGGAAGGTATGATTTGGTAAAGTTTGTGAAGATGGTGCAGGCTGCTGGTCTTTATGTTCATCTTCGTATCGGTCCTTATGTTTGCGCAGAGTGGAACTACGGGTACGTTCCTCTCTATCAAATTCACAATCATTCTTTCCTTTCTTATTTACAGAGCCATCTCTCTGTGAACTATTGATGCTCCCACATTACATAAAATAATTCCTCCACAATATTTAAATTTTGTTGATTCATATGTGTTTACTACTTATTTTGTTATGAACGTTTTTTAGAGGATTCCCTCTGTGGTTGCATTTTATGCCCGGCATTAAGTTCAGAACGGATAACGAGCCTTTCGAGGTATCTCCCCTTTTACACACAAACAAATTACTTTCCTTTCTGAACATTTGACAAACGTTAGCCTCACACCTTGTAAACTGCTCTCCACCTATGTTGCTTTTATATTGCAGAGCGCAATGCAGAAGTTTACTGCAAAGGTGGTGGATATAATGAAGGAGGCTCAGCTTTTTGCCTCCCAAGGGGGACCTATCATTCTTGCTCAGGTTATCTTAACTTATCTTTTTTTCGTTGTTTTTGAACATTCCTTACCTCGTTCCCATTCAACTGCTGCTTTTCTATTTGGTATCCTTCCCCTCAATTCTTGAATCTAGATGATATATTAGAGGTCAAGAAAAAAAAAAACATTGGCTTTTCTTGGCTCGTACTAGATTAGCCACCCATAAAAGAGTGCAATGTATAAAGGGGGTCTTCAAACTTCTCCAATAATGGGTGGTTCTTGTTTTACAGATTGAGAATGAGTATGGCAACATTGATTCGGCCTATGGTTCGGCTGCCAAGTCATATATCAATTGGGCGGCATCTATGGCTACATCTTTAAATACTGGGGTACCATGGGTTATGTGCCAGCAACCTGATGCTCCTGATCCTATTGTGAGTGTTTTGCTTCTTTGTAGATATCAGAGGCAGTTTTACTGTGAAAAGCAGCAATTGATTCAAGATAGAATGTGCCTTGCAGATCAATACTTGCAACGGGTTTTACTGTGATCAGTTTACACCAAACTCTGCTAAGAAACCCAAGATGTGGACTGAGAATTGGAGTGGGTGGTAAGGCTTTGAAGAACATTTCATCTCCCTAGGGTAATTTTCATCAATCAAAAGGATCCTGGGATCATGATTTTCTTGATTTGCATATAATTGAAAAGATAATAAGATCATGGGCATACACCATCAGAAAAAAAAAAAAGATCATGGGTATGACAACCTTAGTTGCACGGCCCAGTCAACTGGTATAATAGGAGAAGCTGGAGGATTCGGCTCCTGGTTTTCTTCATTCTTTCAGGAAAAACTGGATGCATCGATTAGTCTGTTGACGTGCCCCATTTGACTATGTTCTATATTGCAAATTCATAGGTTTCTGTCCTTTGGAGGAGCTGTACCTCACAGACCTGTAGAGGACCTTGCATTCGCTGTTGCACGGTTCTTTCAGAGAGGTGGCACTTTTCAGAATTATTACATGGTAATGCTCCTTTTTTTTTCTTTTTTCTTTTTTTATTTGTTTGTGTATATGTGTTTGTGGTGTTGGTACAAACCCCTGAATAAATATTTGAAATGGAAATGTGCATGTTGGGTGTCAAACAGTATCATGGTGGTACCAACTTTGGCCGTACTTCAGGGGGGCCTTTTATCGCCACTAGCTATGATTATGATGCTCCAATTGATGAATATGGTAGGTTACCCTCCAGAAAACATACAGTTCATAGTCATGAAAGCAAACAAAACAAAATGTTTGCATCCGTCTTGGAATGGTTGGGCTAGAATGATATGTTACCACTTCTACTACAAGTAATGTCTTTCTTTACTTATGTGGAGCTTATATTTGTTTATGCTGATAAAAACGTAAGCAGCAAGGCAAGTTTATAATAGAATATTTCCATGTCTGTTGTAGGACTTGTAAGACAGCCCAAGTGGGGCCACCTAAGAGATCTGCACAAGTCCATAAAGCTTTGTGAAGAAGTGTTGACTGGTACTGATCCAGTGCTTACTTCTCTTGGTCCAAACTTGGAGGTAAGCATTTCTGTTTCCATCTTTCGATTCCAAGACATGTATTGCTGATAATTATTTATATGGTGAAGCAAAGAATCTCACGCCATACAAGCTTGTTTGATTGTACATGGGAGAAATATTTTAAAGTCAAATTATTGATTCTTCAACTTTAAAACTAGTTGTTTTAAGGACTTCTTGAATAATTGAATTATGGCTATTTTGATGAAAGTGACAAAATTCACTATGATATGAAACGTCCAATTTTTTTTTATTTTTTTCGAGACCATGAATTTCTATCGTTTCTGATTTGGCCAAAATCCATCAATTTGAAACAGGGTTATTATACTTGAATTTATTGAAACAAAGTATCTTGAATTTCGTTATGGTACTCTAGAGAGAATTTTGGGGCATGAAATTCCCTTTTTTTCATAGTCACTTTTCTTATATAACATTGAATTTTACACATCTTAGTTTTTTTTTTGCCTTGGTACATCTTTCTGATTATTCACAAGTTTCTTTATGGTTTGATAGTAAATCGCATGCTAGCATCTAGCAGCATGTTAATCTGTTATCTGATAGAAATGTGGGAGTCCTGTGGATCTTCTATACATGTGTATAAATATGGGCTTTGGATTTGTCCTAGTTTGTTACAACCAGAAGTCATTGCAAATTTCTAAGAATATTATCATTGCTTCAATTTTGAACGTCAATAACACCCAGTCTGCTTGGTTGTTTACTGTCATTTATAGGTTCAGTCTGCTTTTGTGTCCTTCATTGCTTTCGCAATTATTTTTCTCTTCTTATTGTAGGCACATGTATACAGACTAGGATCAGGAAAATGCGCTGCTTTTCTTGCAAATGTGGGTACCCAGTCAGATGCAATGGTAACATTCAACGGCAACTCATATCATTTGCCTGCTTGGTCTGTGAGCATCCTTCCGGACTGCAAGAATGCGGTATTCAACACTGCTAAGGTTCGTTATTCAATGCTAAAATATGGACATGTACATCGAATCTCTAGAAATAGTTGTTTGCCGTATACTACCGAGTTAAAGTGTGTTCACTGTCTTTTTAATGTAGTACTCATGCATATAAGTTCTTAATGAGCACTACCACTTTATGAGCACTATCATAGAATAGATTAGGCTAAGAAGGCTCATTTCCAGGCTATCAGTTACATGGCCAGTAAGTCAATGGGAAGGAGGATTTTGTGATTGTGTGGGCCCTCTGGTGCAAATAGGAATCTCTAACTGAATGCATGCGCAACCTCACCCACACGAGAAAAAATTATCTGAGTGTAACAAAGTCCAAGTGCAACACCTAAAGGGGAGACTACTAAAAAGGGCAGCAAAGCCATGAAAAACATGAGAAAGGAGGACATTAAGGTCAGGGTGACCTTATTTATTCAGTTTCAAACGTGCCCAGATGCCTAAGCACATACACATCACACCACACACATAACTCCAAAACCATCCTGAGACAATAAATAACCAAAACATCCCTATACTATTTAAAAAGGACAAAAGATATAATTTTAGAAAACATCCCCATACTATTTTAAAAGGACAAAAGATATAATTCTAGAAAACAGCCCTATACTATTTAAAAAGGACAAAAGATATAATTTTAGAACTAAAATTTGATTTTTCTTGAGTGCTTTTTCCCTAAATAACTGGCCCCATCGGGACAGGCCGGTTGTGTGTTGGACCGGCCGGTCCACCAGTCCAACACTGGTTCAGTGGACCATCCTTTCCAGGGGGTTAGACCAAACCTCCAGTCCGATCTTAATTTCATATGTGTATACACACACACACATATATTTTTGTCTAACATTGATTGTAATCCATAGCCAGTTGCATTGATTGTAATTTTTTAACCCTGTTCCCCATCCACAGAAGATCAGTTCACATAGCAGTCCACTTTCTGTAGTGTATTTAATGAAAGCGTGGATGCAGTGTTTCTAATGCTAGCTTTATCTCAAAATGGAGGTGAATAGTCTTGAAATTAGTTAGTTTTGGAAGAAACCCTATCCATGAAGCATCTATTGCTGCAGATTACATCACAGGCCAATCATTTTGAGATGGAATGGCTAAAGCCAGCATTCAAGCTGCAAAGCTCGCAACAAGTAGGAGATTCTTTAAATGTGCTGCAGTCAGATTGGAGCTGGGTAATTGAACCTGTGGGTATTTCAATGAGTACTGCATTTACAAAATTGGGATTGCTAGAGCAGATAAATACAACTGCAGATGAGAGTGATTACTTATGGTATTCAATAAGGTGTGCGGATTTATTGCTTGATTCCGAACACAATTCACTTTTTATTTACTATAGTAGTGCTTCTTCTGTATCTGCTATGTAATAATGTCTTCATGGCCTTGTGACAGCATGGATGTTGACAAGGATGAACCATTCCTTTCTAATGGTAGTCAAGTGTCTCTTCATGTGTCATCACTGGGTCATGTCCTTCATGCCTTTATCAATGGGGAATTTGCAGGTATTGCTGTGAACATAGAAAATGGAAATGGAAAAACCGGGTGAAAATTGTTTTTAGTGGTGAAAATCAAATAGTTTCATCTTAGGGCAACATGCCCTGTTTCAGATACTATTGAGAATAGTGAGATGGAAACCAAGAAGCATCATTGCCTTGTAAGAAATTTTGACCAAATCATGTAGTTGCACCAGTTTTCCTTTGTTCGTTGGTAACTATAATTGCAACATTACTTTTAAAGGCTTTAATTATGAGGAAACATGATAGTGAAGATGATATTTCTACAATTTATCATGGATGAAGATATACAGTAATGCGTAAGCTGATGTTGAAAGCCATATTGAATTTCTGATTCCACACACCTCAAATTTGTTTTGATATTTTCTCTTTCCTACCTTCGCAGAGTGGCGCACGGCATAGTAATGTAAGCGATTATTTGTGGCCCTTGGCCATCAATAATGGCACCTCTTCACTAAGAGGCACTATAGACATGTTAGCTTAATAGGGTACCCTGTTCTGCTCCGATGAGCCATTTTCAAGTCATTTTATTACGGGCTATTCTTTGATGAGCACTTGCAATCTAATATGTATGTTCTACAGTAGTTACTTATTTCTTCACAAGGATTCACATAGAAGTTTCAATGGAATATAGTGTTTTATGTGAAATCTTTGTTGGGGTCTTCCATCTCTAGTGGTTTTCTAGGGCGTGCCTCTATAATAATGTCTTTGTTGCCTACACTTTTATTTCTTAATGCCTAAGTGATGCTTTTTGTAGGGCGTGCAATTGGGAACAATGGGAATGTAAAGGTCACAATGGATAAACCAATTACAATGAGAGCAGGACACAACACTATTGATCTTTTAAGTGTGACAGTAGGCCTGCAGGTCTGACTCTAAGCTTGTTTTGTCATAATATCTTCATGCTTGCTTGTTAAATCACTAAAAAAAAGAGAAAAAGAATCTTGCTTGTTAAGCTTCTTATTTTTATGGAAACTGACTCCTCAGAACTTCAGTGTCATTATTACTGGGCTAATTCTATTTTTACCTACATGCACTGCTCATGTATACTATCTGCTTAAAAGTAGAATTTTATATTTATTTTGTAGAACTATGGGGCATTCTTTGATACATCGGGTGCGGGAATCACTGGTCCAGTTACACTGAAAGGCTTCAAAAGTGGTACCGTGGATTTATCCTCAAAGCAGTGGACTTATCAGGTTGTTTATTTCTTTTTTTCCATTTTCTTTGGCTTTCATATGATATGATTAATGTTCTAGTTTAATATAATTTGTCTGCCTGTCAATGACGAGTTAAGCAGTATTTGAGCTCGTATAACATGTATGCTATCTGAACAAGAACTTTCTCCTGCATGATGCGAGGCTCCATATAATGATGAGAACATCTAATATTGTTACCTTTGGTTGTTCTTGTCATAATTTCATTACAGTTTGTATTTGCATTTGCAGATTGGATTGAAAGGTGAGCAGTCGAGCCTTTATGGAAGTGAAGGTACAAATGATGCTCCATGGGTTTCCGGCTCCGAACTACCCAAGAACCGACCTATGATATGGTACAAGGTACTACATGGGGAAATATGTCTCATTCCTATATAGTAATTTTTTTTAAAAATCACAAGCTTTATGGATGCACCTAATGGTTTCTGCCGACATGGCCCTGACACATCAATCTGGCCTTGGTTGAAGATAACAAATCGCATTGCTCCTCACATTTTTCTTTGTATGCTTGCTGCAGACAAACTTTGATGCACCAGATGGTAGTGACCCCGTTGCCCTCGACCTTACGGGGCTGGGAAAGGGTCAGGCTTGGGTGAATGGGCAGAGCATTGGACGCTATTGGCCAACTTATATTGCTCCTCAGAGTGGTTGCTCCGACACGTGCAATTATCAAGGAAGTTACACATCAAGCAAATGCCAGAGGAATTGTGGGAAGCCATCACAGACTTTGTAAGAGTGGAGCTTCTGCCCAAAAAAAATGCTTGGTTTTCATCGACTTGGCTCAAGCCCCATGTGCAAAGTAAATGATTCAAGATTTTTTTGCATTTATTTGAAGGTATCATGTGCCCCGAGCGTGGACTCAACCGAGTGGCAACACTCTAGTGTTGTTTGAGGAGATAGGTGGTGACCCAAATCAGATATCATTCGCAATGAGATCTTTTGGGAGCATGTGTGGGCATGTGTCAGAGTTGCATCCCGCCCCTGTGGATGCTTGGGATTCCCGCTCAGAAGCGAGGGCAATGTCGGGACCAGAGCTCCGTTTGGAATGCCCATCCCCAGGCCAGGTCATCTCGTCGATCAAGTTTGCCAGTTTTGGTACACCTCAAGGAGCATGCGGGAGTTTCAGACAGAGCAAATGCAGTAGTAACACTGCTCTATCTATTGTCCAAGAAGTAAGTTTTCTCGTTTTCTCGTTCCTAACCTTCTCACCTAGGGTTCTTTTCCTTTCTAATGGCAATAAAGGAAAATTTCAAAAAAAATAATAGTCTAATGATATTTAAAGGAATCGTGCTCGAGTCTGATTTAGTTGTTCATGATCAGAACACTACATACCAAAAATAAACAATGACTTTTAATTATTTTTCAACAGGCTTGTATTGGATTGAGGAATTGCTCTCTTAGTGTTTCAATCAAGAAATTTGGAGATCCATGCAAAGGGGTGACCAAGAGCTTAGCAATTGAAGCTGTCTGCAAATAAGCAGGTGGTCTATGTACGCAAAGTAATAAAGCAAGCTAAATTGCTTAGAAGTACTAATAAAAGTCAGACACTGTAAATTCTGACCTACTCGCCGCATAATAGTGATGGGGAATGCCCATGCTGTGGTGGAGAAAGTGTCTCATGTTGTAAATTCTGAGTTTCTATCGACCCACTTTCTTTCCTTCTTTAGTGAACCGTATCAGATATAAGCCACACAAACATTTATGGTGGTGGCCATGGTGATGCCTGGGCAAATGAGAATTTTTCTTGACACAGAGAAGGTAACCACCTAAATTCTTCTGGTTTCTATGATTACAAAAATAGCAAAGATGATGAATATCATTGGGAAATTTGTATTATATGTGCTGTGCAGACAATTTGCAACAAAATCGTGTCTACTCTTGAATAGAACCAGCCATCCAGATTATAAGAGAATAATAGAAATAGGAAGAGTCGCAGTAGGAGCTTATGTTGTCATCATGGATGCGGGAAGAGCATTGAGAGAGATGAATATCGGAAACATTCATCCCAGTTTGGAGAACTCTAGCTTCTTTCTTTTATTAAGACCATATGCATGAGACAAATGATTTCTCCTTTGATCATTTTAGTCCTTTAGGTTTCAGCTTAGTAGTAGACATCAGTTCTAGTGAGGGAGGTCAAAGGTTTGAACCATAGTTTTCAGGACCAAACTGAACTGTCGGTCTAACCAGTCAAACTATCGAGTGATGCCTTGTTCGATCTGGTTCAAGGTAAAAATCGGGTCTGGCCAAAACTAGTATTTGATTGGTTTGGCTAGTTCAATGGGCATATTTCGACTGAATCAACTCGACAAACAAAGTGGGTATTTTTTTCCTAATAGGTTACATATTTTGAAATTATTATTCATCATTTTTCTTAATATTTTTAAAATTTGATCAAGTCGATTCAGCCGGCAGTTTGAAGGGATCAAACCCCTCACCAGTTCGATGACCGGTCCGCTCTTGGTTTGAACCCATGAAGCCGGTCCGCTCTTGGTTTGAACCCATGAAGCCTATCCCGCAAACCCAAACAAGCAAAGCTAGCCTTTTTTTTGTTTTTCACTTCAGTTATTAAGGGCAACATTATATTATTTCTTCCCTCTTGTTTTTTCTCCCATGGCATAATGAGGAATCAAGGGGGATTCTCCTCTAGCTATATTTTGTTTTATGTTTGATGGAAAGTTTCTTGTTTTCTACGCAGAATGGAATCCATTACAATAGACTGGGCAAGAGTTCAGTAGACTTTACCGCATGTAAAGGGTTTACATACCAAATGCATGTGAACACTGATATCAGCTGAATGTCACCCTTGTTGAGCTATGACCAGGGTTGTCTTAACTCTGGTTGAAACTTTAGTCACGTTTGATGGACGGTACAGGCCGACCTTCACATGCATTTTGCATGTATAGCCTTCACTTAAGAGTCCACATTTATTTCCTTCTACTGGAAGAATCTGAGTTGTTGTGAAAAGTGAACTTAGCTCCGTCTCTCTTTCTCTCTTAAAAAAAAAAAAAGTTCATCATCGTGGAAACTTTTTCCAAACTAATTGAGATGGGCTGTACGAATCTTGATCTGTCATTCTGTTTAATCTCTCCACACAAAAGTTACATAAGAAAAATGAACACATACTTCTAGCATGTTGTAGGCAAATGAACATATACTTCTAGCATATTGTAGATTCCAATCCTATCTAATTTGTAACAGTTAAAGAAGGTTGTAGATTCAAATCCTATCTAAATTGTAACAGTTAAGGAACACCTTGCCATTCAATTGATGAGAATACGTAGTGGTAATACATGGGCAGATATGTATATGTATTGCCTAGGGGAAGTAAGCAATCTAACCTGCCTTTATTCTAAGGAAGAATGTGAGTGAGAACTACAAGGAATCACAGAAGAGAAAGCCCACCTTGGGCATGAGCTTATGCAGCCAAATAGGAAGAAGGATGAAGAAGAACGAGAGGATGGAATGAAATGAAATGAAATCAAATGGAGGAGGTGGAAGCCGGGGGGTTGAACCGGCAGGAAGTGCATTGTGGGGAGAGGAGGGAGGGGGTTCGGTATCTGTCCTCCCCACCCATCATTGGCATTGCCACCCCTCTCTTCACCGGACTTGTGTACCCAGGCCGGTAAGTCTGGCCCAGCACACCCTCCACCCCGTCGGTCAGGTTCTTGAACCTGAACTGCATCTCAAGGTGCGCAAAGGCGTTGTCCTCTGGCAACCTGTAGTTGTGGACCCTCCTCTCCTCCTCTCCTATTGGTGCGACCCTCACGTCCATCTCGACCATCCTGCCAACTGCCACCCTCACAGCATTTGCCTCTGCTGTCCTTTCGGCCGTCACCTCTCCATCTGCTGAAACCCAATCTTCACCATCGGTGATGCTCACCACAGCTCCGTCCCACTCCATGACCAGAGCGTCGACGGAGTCATTCCATGCGGAGGTCGCAACAGGCTTGGCACGGAGGACAAAGGTATGGTCCTGGAAGAGGACGGCCAGGGCCTGGATCCATGTGAAATCGCGGGTCCTCCCCTGAGGCCTGCTGCCGATGAAGTGGGCATTGATTTGGAGTTGGGAGTCAGAGACGAGGGCAAAGTTTTCCCCCTTGCCCCCATGAAAGTAAAACATCACCCCATCTCCACCAATGAAGCGTGGGTCATAGCAAATTGCACCATACCCCTCGCAGTTGGGCTTCCTAACTGCACCACCACAGATATGTTAGTTATGAGGAATTGATTGGCATTCAAAATTGAGTTAAGTAAAACATCGATACATTCATCATTAGAGCCACACTTTCTCTCAAAAGATTGATTTATTTACCGACTTGGTTTGGGGGGCTTTATTATCATTTAGATGAAACTATGAGGACCTGAAGTTGTTGCCCTCCTGCTCTGTTGCGCTATCTAGGAATACCAACACGGAGGACAAACATAGACCTACACTACACTACTGTCCAGTATCAATAAACACGGACAACATAGACCTACACTACACTACTGTGCAGTATCAATAAATACGGAACACAGAGCCGGCCCGGCCCTCTTGTCCGGTGTTGTTATAGCAGGACCGAACCTCAACTTTAATAATAATAATAATAATAACCGCAACATAAATTGCTCGAGAATTATTTGGTGGGGAGTTTGATATGTCGTGCTTACATTTGCAGGTGGTCTCGCACTTGCTGCAGTCGATGAAGCAGCCCTTTACCTTCTTTGCCATCCTGGGTTTCCTCTTGCTGCACTGTGCTGGGCAGGTGAGGGTCCTCCTGAAGCACCGCCCCTGAGCCCTGCAAACTCCACCCTCTTGGCCGCTGGAGTTAGGAGGTATCTCCATGTAGTTTTGAGCAGGGTCCTTTGGGTTCGGCTTTGTAGGCTTCCCATTATTCCCAGTGTCTCCATTGTTGCCATTGCCATTGTCGCCATTGCCGTTGCCTTGCGCATGAGCCGCGGAGGCCAGTAGAGCCAAGGACAGGAGGAGCGTCAGCAGGCAACTTCTTCTCATGGCTGCTCGGCGTGGCACCATGTTACCCACCCGCAGAGAGAGAGAGAGAAGGGGTGCAAATGCATGGGGCGTTTGGGCAAGCATTTAAAGAGAGTGTGAAGGTGGAGGGAGTGGGGCATACTCATCATCATCCAGCTTGTAGCTTGTGCCATTAACGCTAACTATTATTATCATAAACTACTTTACTTCTTCCTAGATTTCTTCTTTTTTAAAATTAATAAGACCACTTCCTCTTCTCATCTATTCTACTCTCTCTCTCTACCCTTGTTTGTTTTTCACATCATCCATTCAACACCTTCTATTCTATGTCTAATACTATATGGATTAGAGAGAGATTTATTCTAATTCTAATACTATATTGATTAGAGAGAGAATTGAGGTGGAGTGGGGAATCTTCAGGAAGCACTTCCCTCAATGAGAGATGGTATTGATGAGAGAGAAAAAATAATGAAACAAAATTCTATCGAATAATAATCGCCTCACAAACCGTTTATATATAGCCGAAACTCTAGACCATCAAACTAGAGCCTACATCAAAAATTTCATTAGAAGAGGTTGTTTTGATGCCCAAATGTCCTCAAATTGACCATCTCAACATCAAGATGCATAGGCATGATAAAAAAATAGATTTCAAGTTTTAGAAATAGTGTATTTTGTAACACATTTTTTTATCTTCAATTTTCAATTTTCAAGATTTTCAAATTTCTAAGGAGATTGGATTTTTAGAGAGAGAAAGAGAGATTGGGATTTTAGATGGAGAAAGAGATATTGGTTTCTAGAGAGAAATAATGAGTTTTTAGAGAGAGTTAAGAGATTGGGTTTTTAGAGAGAGAAATATAATGAATTTTTAAAAAAAAAAGAGATATTGAGTTCTTAAAGAGATAAAGATATTGATTTCTAAAGAGAGAAAAATAACTTGGGTTTTTAAGGAGAGAAAGAGAGATTGAGTTTCTAGAGAGAAGGCTTTTAATTAGAGAAAGAGAGATTTGGTTTTTAGAGAGAGAAAATAGGTTTTAGAGAGAGAAAGAGATATTGAGTTTTTAGAGAGAGAGAATGGGTTTTAGAAAGAATAAAAGAGATTGAGTTTCTAGAGAGATAATGGGTTTTTAGAGAGAGATTAGTTTCTACATAGAGAATAAATTGATAGAGAGAGAAACAAAGATTGGGTGTTTAGAGAAAGAATGGATTTTTAAAGAGAAAAATAGATTGAAGTTTTAGAGAGAGAATGAATTTTTAGATAGAGAAAGATATCATCATCATCATTTTCTTTTTTTTTAATTAATTGAGGTTGGTTACATGAACCCTAATTCTCCACTCTACCCTATTAAAAGCCATATTTTAGTGAAACCATAACTCCCCATACCTTTTATAAAAAGAGGGTGGGTTTTTAGAGAGCGAAAGAAAGATTGGATTTCTATAGTAAGAGGATGGGTTTTTAGATAGAGAGATTGGTTTTCTAGAGATATAATAGTTTTTAGAGGGAGAGAAATAGATTGGTTGTTTAGAGAGAGAGAAAGAGAGAATAGGTTTTTATAAAGAAAAAGAGATATTCGGTTTCTAAAGAGAGAGAATATGTTTTAGAGAATGATGGGCTTTTAGATAGAGAGATTGGGTTTCTAGAGATAATAGATTTTAAGAGAATGATGGGCTTTTAGATAGAGAGATTGGGTTTCTAGAGATAATAGTTTTTAGAGAGAGAGAAAGAGAATGGGTTTTTAGAAAAAAAAAAATATTGGGTTTTTAGAGAGAGAATGTGTTTTAGAGAGAGAAAGAGAGATTAGGTTCAAAGAGAGATGAGTTTCTAGAGAGAGAATTGGTTTTTAGAGAGAGATTAGGTTTGTAGAAAGAATATGTTTTTAGAGAGAGAATAGAGATTTGATTACTAGAGCGAGAGAATAGATTTTTAGATAATGGGTTTTTAGAAGGAGAATTAGAGATTGAGTTGCTAGAGAGAATTGATTTTTGAGAGAAAGACTGTCTTTTTAGAGAGGAAATAGGTTTTAGAGAGAGTGAAATGGATTTTTAGAGAGAAAAAAAAAAAATGGGATTTTAGAAAGAGAAAGAGAGATTGGGTTCTCAAAGAGAGAATCAATTTTTAGAGAGAGAATGAATTTTTAGAGACATAAAAAGATACTGAAATTTTAGAGATTGGATTTCTAGAGAGATAATGGGTTTTTAGAGAGATAAAATGATAATGAAATTTTAGAGATTGGATTTCTAGAGAGATAATGGGTTTTTAGAGAGAGATTGGGTTTCTAAAAAAAGAATGGTTTTTTAGAGATAAAGATAGATTGGGTTTTTAGTGAGAGAAAGAGATAATGGGTTTTTAGAAAGAAAAAGAGATATTGGGTTTCTAGAGAGAGCGAATAGGTTTTTAGAGAGAGAAAGATAATGGATTTTTAGACAGGGCAAGAAAGATTGGGTTTCTAGATAGAGAGAATAGGTGTTTAAATAGAGAAAAAGATTGGGTTTCTAGAGAGAGATGATGGGTTATTGTGAGAACGATTAGATTTTTAGAGAGAGAAAGCGAGATTGGATTTCTAGATAGAGAATAGCTAACATTCCAGATTCCTGGAAGGAAGATTCGGAAATAGTTTACCAAACCAAAGAAAACAATTTCATAAGAAATTTAGATAGCATTACCAAACATGTGATTCCTATTTCAAGCGAACCAAAGATGCCCTAATTGTTGAGGGCTTCACTCAGCCTTAGACAAACCATACCCATGATAGAAGAATATGTTACAATTATGAAAGTAGTCATTTGAGAAATTGTAAGGAAGAGTGAACAAAAACCATGAAGACTCTCTCCCTCCACGCCACTCCGTTACGTTAAGTTGATAGCAAGAGCGCCCCACGTGCTCTTTCACACGCTTCCTCCCCTCCTACTTCACTCATTGACCTCACACCCTCACTCTCCAGTTGTATAGGTCTCTCCTCTCAAGTTGTTATCATACATCTTCTAAATCAAGCAAGTCAGAGTTTGAAAATACGAGAAAAACAGCAATATTTACTTTTAAGTAGGGATTGTATAGTATAGAACACTTTTGTTATAAAGAGGTAACAATTATTAATATTTAATCGACTGAAGAATATCACAATATTCGAGAAATTTTATTTTGATCTTAGCTCAATCAATAACACATTCCGACCTAATTCCACATTGAAAAAGCAATGATGAATGTAAACTCTTTATACCTTTATACGAACAGTAAATGTTACATTTCCTTTTAAATAACACAAGCGATAATAGTTTAAAAATATTAGGTAAAAGGGAAAAGTCTAAATGTTCCTATTCAAATAAGCTCCCCTTCCAAAAATCCATATTAGATAGGAAGATTGACCTTTAGATGCGCTTTAGATCCATGATTTAGAGCTCAAAAAAAGGTCTAAGTGTGGTTATTTGCAAATAATTCAAATAAATGGTGATGAACGGTCCTAAAATGAAGCATTTAAGGTTAAAATTCCTTTTTTTTTAGATTTATGATCATAGTAGTCGAGAATAATTGGTGTCTTAAAATGGAAAAAATGGGTGTACATCACCCACCAAAAACATTATAGTGGCTATGTCATACTCCAAATCATATTTATCAAGATAATACCTTATTGGCTCATTTAATTGCTCGGCCTGCCACCTTATGTCTAAGTTGGTCTGGTCCAAAAAAAAATTTTGATTTGATAAAAAATCAGTCAAAACCCAATGTTTGACCAATTTTGACTAAATATATTATTTAATTTTGACTTATTATATTCAAAAAATAAAATAAGGTATTTTTTAAAAATATATTTCATATTTTTAAATTATTATTATTATTTTTAAAAAAATTCCCAGCTAGTTTGACCAACCATTTTGATTGAGCTTTCGTGCATAAGTCATAACACCACTCCAAGCCACCAAAATTTGGTGTTACTACATTTTGTCTTTTTAGGGTATGTCATTTTGACTTTTTTTTGGGTATGCCTCACATTCCAGTTACGTAATGGATCGAGCCGGGCGTGGACCATCCACTCATATGGGCTGATCGATACTTCAACATTCTTAACATTGCTTTCAAGACACTCTTAAAATTAAAATACAAGAGAAAAAAAGGGCACCCTGAAATCCAGGCTTTCAGCTAGGATTCAAACAAAGAGGTCTAGGCTCACAACCAAAACCTTGCAGTTTTTTAGTCCCAATTGAATAGAAATATCAAAATAGTGGCAAAACTTTCCTTTAATTTGCATGAAGCTCTCCTTTTTTATTCTTATTATTATTAATTAAAACCCTAATGAGTTTTGAATGGGAGAAATACAAAGCAATTGAGAATCAATTATTAAAGGTGGTTATTATGTGTTGTTTCTGCATCAGGTCCTCGAGGCCAGTTACGAGGTTATTAGCTGTACTAGTAAAGTGGCGTAAAAGGCACACAATTATATAAGATCTAGAAAAGGGAATTGGAGGCCCTCTTCTTTTTCTTTTTTTTTTGGGTAAATAAGAGGAGGCCCTCTTTCTTTTTTTTTTTCTTTTTGGGTAAATAAGAGGAGGCCCTCTTTATTCTACCCTGTTGGGTGGTTTTCGAATGGCAAGAAAAATAAAATAAAAGGGAAGTGGTCAGGACTGCTAAATCCTATGTCCAACTCCCATATAACCAAAATGCATAAGGATATTCCCTACTCAGAAGGCCACATTGGGATGTGTTTGAACCCAATAGCATAAACGACCCATTCGGTTCAAAACCCAAACAACCTTTTTTTTAGACATAGGAAGAATCTATGGAATTATTGTATAGTTACTTTAATTCGTTTGTCATTAATGCTCATAAGCCCATAAAATGATTTTCTTAAACAAACGAATGGCATCCAAAGAAGTAAGAGCCCCTCATGAATCCATTCAATAACAAAATAAAAAATAAAAATAAAAATAAAAATATACAACGAGACCATTGGATGTGAAGTTGGGTGGCTGCATTTATTTTATTGACCAAACTCAAATTTCAAAAAAAAAATTTCTTGAACTTTGTGATGCACCTAAACTATCAGATTTCAAATCGGATGGTTATAAGTAATTGTGACCTTGTACCAAAGATAAATAATCTCATTGTATACAATCTCAAAAGAAATTCCAAAAGCGCCACTTACCAATCCGATATGTGATATAAAGGAACACTTTTCAAGAGGCCAAACACAAACTTTGGATGGAAGGAAGCGCTGCATATCATACCTAAAGGTTTTAAATTTTATCACGGGCACCGCGCTGGTTTTAGTTCATTGAAATTATGCTATGCTCCTAAAATATACCAATGGCAAAGTGAAGAATAACATCAAATTAAACAAACAAAATTTTTTTTTCTTTCTTTTTATCATTTCTTCTAAGACTTGCTGTCCACTTCCCTTCTATATTTTCCGACTAAAATGGTTTATGATCCACATTCCTTAAGTGAACCATAACGCCCAGGGAGAACCATATATAACACACGCACGCACACACACAGGTGCACATCGTAAACTCCAGTCCAAATTACAACAATGCCTCTCAAGGTCATTTGAACAAAGAATCTCTCGCTCTCTCAAAAAACACAAGGTTAGGGATCCACTTGCTACAAGTTGTGATCAAGAGAATGACACACACACTGGACACCAACTTGCGCCAGAGGAAGTCTTAGGGAACATGCTCAACCTCATAATTCATTCCATTGGACGGATCAGATGCCCACAAAAGCTTTAGCAACTATATTTTAATATATAGCCCTTGAAAAGGTTCATCCTTAAACGTTCTCCGATGCATTCATTACTATATGTGGTGATGATTCCTCTGCATTCCCTCCTCCGGATGCAGCTACCTCCTCTGCTGCTAGTCTTTCCTCAAGTGCACGCGCCCCTCGTTCCCTGTCATAACAATATAAAAAATACCCATATTTGAGGTTCAGCTTCCCATAGACATGGATGTTTAGAAAGGATACGTAATCCATGTTATTCTTGATATTGAATCAGGAAAAGAAAAGGGCACCCCATTCTATCCAAAGCATAGTTCATGTATTGTATGTGAATAAAATTTCTATAACCATCTCGTGTGAGACAAGCTGGAATTCTTAACCATGAGACAGATCCCATAAAGAGAGGAAAGTACCTTCTTCTAGATGCCTCTATAGGATCAGAACCAGGCAAGGGAGCACCCCCCAGTATATGACCATTGCCTTCAGTAGAGACTTCAGATCTACCACAAAATAGTCTTTCACAAACAGAACCAACAGGGTCTATAACTGGTCTGTAAATGCCAAGAATTAGAAATCATCACTATGAGATAGATAAATATTGTAGCTCGGTCTTGTTCCAGCTTCATTAACATTTAAAAGATTAGATAGAACTATTTGCACTACCGCAAGAATTCAGGAAAGAATGTCAAGAAGGCAAATTCATCACTTGGGTCGCCCTTCCAGTTTGTCTCCGGATTCTTTTGAAGGTAACGTAGATAGAGCCAACTCATATAGGTGCCGAATATTAAGAATGGAAGATAGGAAGCAGATTCTGAAGTAAGGAAGGTTATCACAATTGATGTCAAGATAAGGAGTGATGGCATCCACTGGAGAATGAAAAAGAACCAAGAATTACAAGGTGTCCAACACAATTACATGACATGAAAAACTTTTGCAAAAAATGAACCAAATTCAAATAAAATCCATAATTATACCTTGGCTTTCAGCGAAATAAATGTAATCAGCTCATGATCAGGTATGATCTGCTTTATGCCTACAAAGAAACCCGCCAAGACTCCATGGAACCCAGAAAGGGGTGTATAACTGACAAAAATGAGAACAAATCGGTAACAGTGTACTAGTGAATTGTCACCCTAACGAATAAAAACTGAATTACAATGATTTTCTTTTAAAATTGTTAACTTTGTATTGGGTAAAAGAGTTTATAATATACAAAAAAGGCCCATTCCTGTGCTACAAAACAGCCACCAAGCATGTGGCTCGAAACCAAAAAACTGCTATACAATTGGATCCATTACATTCTAAAAGTAATGGTTGGTTGTACAAAAACGGACTAAGAGATGCATAACTACAATGATATTCATGCAAATATTAGTAAGAATGGAATCCTAATGTGTGAATGTCAAAATGAGATGCACTAAACAATATTCTAGACTCCCACTCTCCATTCACAATAAACTCTATTTAGTAGTTATCCTACCAAAATTTAAAGTGAACTGCCCTCTCTTAGCTAGTCCATGGTGTAGTGTTTCATTGAACCTTGGCTCACCCATCTCAAGCTCACCCGAACTACACCATTACTACATAGCCTTGTGCATGGTTTGGCCCTTACTGTTCTATTGATCTCCACACTGCTTTCATGTAACTGAAACCAGCCCCATCTAGCCCATTTTCAGTCACCTTGGTTGCCCTCTTGATCATCAGTTTGAGTGCCTCAAGCCCTTTGAAGTACACTTGTTGTCTGCTTGTTTCTATGAAGTTTTGAGCACTATCCCTTCTTGGATTGGCATGCCCTAGTAGGAGTGATTGCTGCCGCCTCTACTGTGCCCTTTGGAGAATGACTTCTGTGATTAGGGAGTTCTTATTAGTGCTTCCCAAAGTTAAAGCAAAGGTGGGCATCAGATCCCCGTGCTATCGGAGGAGGAGATTCTGTATGGGGTAATGGCAGTCCCGTTGAGGTAATCTCCAACACCTTTGTGATTTTATGGCTTCTCATGGCTCTATGTTGCAGTGATTGTATTTGCGTTTGAGTTTTTATTCATGACATTGCAATTAAAGTGTTTGTAATGAACTTCATATGAGTTTAATACAAGTTGGTTTATGTAATACATGTGCTGAATTTTTTTATATACACATAATCTTTTAATTTACAATCTCAATTGTATGGATGAACGGAAAGTTGTGTTAGGGCAATTTAGACGTGTTATTTGGGCCTCGGTTTGTCTTGTTTCAGTTTGCATTGAGTCCCACAATTTTGTTCAACATGGGTAGGTGAATGGGTTTGTAAGGGACTTGTATTGAAAATTTGGAAACTGTAACCATTTCTAACACCATTCTATACACCCAACATTCGTATCAGAAAAAGCGCTCCATTTTCTTTTTCTATTTTTTGAAATGTTGATGATGTCTTTGTAGTATTGTACCAAAAAATCACAACATATGAGTTGGCCCACACAATGAGGCCTGCTTTGAGATCATATACAAAAAATGATGCACAAGAACAGTAAAAAAAAAAATGAAACGGCCAAAACTGGGGAACAAAGCTCAAAAAGCTGTTGAATGGGTTCCCCATGTGGGTTGAGTAGTGGCTCCTTTTGCGAGTGCATCAGCGTTAGAGCTGGCCTCTCGTCACATATGTTGAAAGGAGATGAGAATATAATGCCTGCTTAGGAAAGAAATATATTCTAAGATATGCCCATGCAGTTAACGGTTTTTTAGTCTCCCTCTACAACCAAGGACTCTCTCCCATCACGATTGTATCCTTTAATACCCTTTAGAGAAATTGCTTCCACCATTATGGAATCAGCAATGGCGATATGACCTGAGAACGAGAGGAGAGTGTTGTTATTGTGGTCTTTGAACAAGCTTCCATAACCTGCCAGGCCCAGATTTCCTAGGGAGCAACCATCGAAGTTAAGCTTTATTTAGTTGGCCTCTAGGGGTCTCCAAAGAGAGGATTGAGAAAGATGGGCAGGCTGAGCTAGCAGTATGTACTGCCAACTGCTAAGGAAGCTGGTAGTCAAGAAACCTCTCTCTCACCTCCTCTTCTCTCTCTCCTCCATGCCTCTCTCTCTCTCTCTTTCTCTTTCTTTCTCCCTTCTAGGGTAAGTACACCCCACCTAAGGCAGGGCCACAACTGGTGACTTGACCACCCAGGCTATCCTGAGAGAGGCATGCCTAGCCCATCTAGCTTTGAGGTCAGGGGTGGTGCCATCATGGCAATCCCCAAGGTTTAAGAGTTGAAAAGACACCCAATCATAGTCCATGCTCTCAGCCTCATAGTTCTGTGTTGCAGGGTATTGCCAGAGGTGCTTCCCAAGTTAGAGGATTCAGCAGGATCTAAGGTTTGAGTGCGCTATCAGTTCGGGAATCAGGTGAGGGTATATATGCTAAGTCCTGCAGGGGTAACTCTAGGCAGAGGTTCAGTAAGCTTTCCCAGTTTAATTTCTTAGTTTATTTCCTTTTATTGCTTCTTGATTCATATTTTTCTTTTAGAACTGATATTGTAATAGAATTTAGTTTATGAATAAAGTTTTATTTTGGCAGTAGGTTTATTTTCTATCTCTGCATTGTATTGTATAATTGTAAGTAGAAATTCTTGTTATCAATAAAAGGAAAGTAGAAAAAAAATTTATTTATACCTTGGAGTTCTAAATAGCCACACCTTTCAGCATCGAGAGTCATGGTACTTCAATAAGAGGCATCGTAAACTTTAACTAGTATTTTAAGTGCCTTTTTCTGCTTATCCAACGTTCTATAATAATAGTGATCATCCCTTATACATTAACATCAATATTTATTTGCACAGTATTGTAAACCATGCCAACTACAAATTAATTTGGGCTTCCCTTTGTGATACTTGTACCAACCCACTGCACCAATGTCAGGGAAATAAGTGGTCCTAGTTTACAGTAGGGGTGTGCGTACCATAGAACAAACTGCTTCAGACCTTCAAGACCCGAGGCGCCTAAACCCTTCCTCTCTAAAACCCCTAATTCTCTTTCCTCTCCTCAACATGAGATGCTTGGCCAATTCTTTAAACCCAGTATATAAAGAAAAGAGGTGTTTTTTGTAAAGGCAATGGATACATGTATTTTTAGGAAAAGGTTTACTATATGTACTCTTACATGTAAATACAAAGTTTTCAATTATATCAAAGAGAAGAAAAAGATGAAAGGCTGTCATGGGTTGTACATATAAACCATGGACTGTTACTCCATTCCCCATGTCCTTGTGCTTTTGTCATGAGCAAGCAAATACTCTTAACAAAAAGAAGCTCTGATTTATTAGGGCCACTTTTCATTAGTTGACAATCACAACATTTTGTACTGTGCAAAAAATGACATTCAGTTGATATTTTATTATAATTATGTAAATAATAATATTGGTTTATAATGTTTCTTTTTGTGGCATGGTTTGCAATGGCACTCAGTAGGGGGGATCAGCAGGAGCAGATATACCAGCTGGGTGCTGAAAGCTTGATATTACTGGAGGCTCATTTAGCAACCACAACTCACAAGAGTTGGGGCCCTAGAACAGAATGATTTTGGGGAAGTCAAGAAGGCTAGCATGGATTTGGCAAATATAGCTTAAGATTGCTATGACATGATTTTCTAGCTGTGAATTGGTAAAGCCTAACTAGAAGAATCATCCAGCTCATTTCAAGTTCGCCAACCTGGTTCAATCTGAGATTTATGTGGGAACAAACCTCCAAGCAGGAAGAATTAGTTTTCCTTTTTGTGATGCATTTTAAGCAATTTCAATCATCAAAAAAAATAAAAAAACTGCATTTTATTGATTTTTAATCTGGACTATATGTACTGATAGAGACACCTTGTTTTTTCTTAATTTAAGTTACCAGCTTATGTATTTTATTTGTATTACAGAATCTGTATTCATTTTTGGAACATGTCATAGTGTTAACTTATCAAAAAGAAAAAACAAATGTATATAATAAGACCATTTACTTCTAGTACAAGGAGGTCACAATCATTATTGACCGTTCGATGTGAGATTGGGTGATTAACAATGTGTCATTGACTGGGCACAAAGTCCAAAAGAAAATTTCTTGAATGTTCTGACACACTTCAATATGTCAGATTTCACAGCCAATGGCTAAAAGTGATTGTAAACTCCTTGTATCAAAAGTGAATGGCCTTGGTATACAATCCCGAAAGAAAATAGACTTACAATTACTTCAAGTGACATGTATACAAATTTCCAGATGGAAAAATGTTATATGCGTCAGGGGATGCATGCCTACATCCTTCATTTGCTTCCCCCGAGGCATAAACCATCCATCCCAAAGATGGATGTAAATAATTGTCCCCCCAAAACAAATAAAAAGTAATTGTATAAATATTTCCTTAAAAAATTCTCATTTTTAGTTTTTAAATTTTATTTATTTTTACATATTAATGATCTCTATGTTAGAGATTATATAGCCCTTATAAATTAGGGTTAAAATCTGCTTCAAAAAAGAATTATTAAGAGGGGGCACATTTCTACATATGAGTCCTGGGACTCAGAGAAACTGTGTCCTTTCCAGATTTCTCTCAGTAATTAGTACTATTATTTCACCCTTGTATCAGCTAAGTGAGATTGTAAAAACCTAAATTCCTAACCGTTAAGCTGTCACAATGTTCATAATTTTGAGTTCCACAATTTAAAAACCGCATATAACAAGAAAGAAGTGTCACATGAAGTACTGTTAGAAATTTTCAGCATGCATCAGCTACGCAGTTCTCAATTCCCAAAAGTTTTCCTTTCTCACATTAATAAAGTAATAGAATTAGATGTGAGGGCCTCAGCCATTTAGCCCTTGAGAATTACTTTTTTTTATGAGGATGTGATTACTAATTTATTATCATAATACCATGGAAAGAACCAAATACAAGCACAGGGTGGATAAATCCTATGGAGGCAACTCCTTGCAGTGATCAGCACAATGTCAGAACCAGAGGTCACGCTAAGTTTGATTAATTTTGTACCCTCGACCCATTTTTCTCCCTAAGTGCATGCATAAATGACAAAACAGATCTAATATGCCAATTATCAGAACTCGTTACCACAAATACATGCTTTGATTTACCTATAAATCAAAAGTTCAGAACTATTACCCTAGATAAGAGATTAAACAACCAAGTGGTAACAATACAATCCACTAGCACAAAGAACAAGCAAAGAAATGCAAAGATTCAAAACAGATGGATAGTTGAGGCATAGCAAGAAAACTTACAGAAACCTTTCCTGTGTCGTTATGTAATATAATGCAATAGTTGTGACAAAGGCACAAACTGAAGTTAAAAAGTTCACCACAATGATGAATTTCAAGAACTCCCTTGAGCCCCATATTGGTTCTAGCAGTTTCCCTATGAAAAGGAGACCAAGCGTGTTGAACACCAGCTGCAAAACCAATGCAAAAGTCAGATTATCTGATCTCATAAAATTAAAAGACCGTGCTCATACACATAAAAACAAAAGTCAATAAATCCATTCAAAGAGTCCAGTCTTGATGGAGATACCACAACAATTCAACGTAAAGCATCCAGTCTTGAGGGGAAATGCATTTTTCAAATTCAGTATTATGTTTTTTTGAATACATAATTTGCTTTACAACACTCAGACTTCTGCGTTCTGCATGACTTTGCAAATAAAAAGCCCTTTCTCTCGCAAAAGCTGGATAGCATGTCACACAATTTCCTTATTAGACTAACTGATGTAGGAAAATCACTGGAAAGAATAAAATCAGCAAGGAAAAAAAATAAAAACCAAAATAAGAATCTATTTGAAGAAACCTAGGGTTTCTTCACCACACCCAAGCTAGGGTTTCAAAGCCTAAGCCTTTCTTTTTTCTTTTCCAAACTGAAAATCACGTGGTATCCCTTCTAGGACCCCCACACACCACATTATATTATTTATTTAACGTTTCAAGGGCATTATTTGTCCATACAAATAAGAAATTGACCACCATTTCCTAACTTAAGCATAAAGTCCATAATACCCTTGATCTGATTTAAAATGACTAAAACAATCCAACTTAAATGTAACTCAAAATTAAACCCTGACATTAAATAAAATTCCAAGAAAGTACCTAACTAATCCAGCAAATAAAAATAAAAAAATCTGAAAATACCCTAAAATGGCTAGAAAATTATCCCAAGTAGTGCTTGCTCTTGTAACCCTCCAAGGGGTTATATCCTCCAAGTATGCATGAGAATTAGGAGGAATCTGCTGCTCCCAAAAAGGATACTCATTGCCCTAACCACTTGATACACTTTGCACATCATCATTCTCCCCGGGTTGAGGAGAACTTGACCTCGAGCTAGAACCTTCATCTTCACCCATCTCTGGCCCATGATACTCAGACAAATCAGCAATGTTGAAGATATTTGAAGCCTCCAGATGCGAAGGAAAATAGAACTCGTAAGTTTGCTGCCCATCTTCTTCAAAATCTTAAACAGTCTCACCTTGCGATTATTCAGCTTGTGGTATTTGCCTGCTAGATGCCTTTCCTTTCGAAAATGCACCATCACCAGTCTTCCACATTAAACTCCTTGAAATGGTGATGCTTGTCCACAACTTCTTTATATTTGGTTGTATTGGCTTCTAAATTGGCACACACCCATTCATGCACTCCTTTCATTTCCTCAACCAACTCCCAACAATAGTATGACCCTCCCCATTGGCCTGGAAAGGAGCCAAGTCAAGCCAATGGGTAGGGTTCTTCTAGTACACCAGCTTGAATGGACTCTTACCAGTAGACCTCTTGCGAACACTGTTATAGGCAAACTCGGCTTGAGGCAGTGCTAGATTCGACTTTATCGTCTATTTACCAATTCAGTTTGCCCATTTATTTGTGAATGATAAGCACTACTGAACAATAATCAAGTGCCAAAGTTCTTCCACAAAGCTCCCAAAAATGGCTGAGAAACTTAGGATGTGAAGTTATTGTCTTTCGAACATATGCGACCTTGCCACCTCTTTGAAGCACAGATTAGCAACATGTGTGGCAACTAGAGGGTTCTTACAATGTATAAAATAAGCCATCTTCGAGATTCTATCCACTACCAAAAATATAGAATCCATATCTCTTTGAGACTATAGAAGAACCAACACACAATCCACATTAACATCCTCCCAAGGTGCACTAGGAATAGGAAGTGGAGAATAGAGCCTGGTAATGTTGTTTCCCTTTAGGCAATTGACACTTACGACACCTCTCGACAAACCTCATAACATCCCTCTTCAATCTTGGCCCCTGATACTTAGACTCCACCAGTGCTCGTATTTTATCTTGACCAAAATGTCTACCACAACCTCCTCCATGAAGCTTTGTTATGAAGGTTTCTCTAAGGGAACCTACGGGTATACAAAGATGGTTTCCTTTAAAGAGAAACTCATCTTGAATCGGAAAAGAGTCTGGGCCTTAATTGGTTAGCACTTGACAGTTTGCCATGCTACGTCCTAGGCTCAATTCCTACCAAGGGTAGGGGCCCTCTCCCCACTGACTCACCCAAAAAAAAAAACTCATCTTGAATAAGAAAATCCCCGCTGACTACATAATGACATCGATCCCATGTCTTGAAGGCGACATCATATGCTAAAAGATCATAAACTTGGACCACATAATAGCAGTTGTCATGGTAGTCTATAAAGCCCATCTTTTGCTCAAAGCGTTTGTCACTTTGCTTTGATTGCCTGCCTTATGTTGAATTGCCTTATGCTGAATAACAAAAGCGGACTCCTGAAAATAGGCTGCCCATCAAGCATGCCGCTGATTTAGTTTATGTTGTCTATTAATATACTTCAGTGCTTCATGATCTAAGAAGCAAATAAACTCCCTCTGGAGCACATAGTGCCATCAACGCCTCAGGGCTTGAATAACAACATAAAACTCCACATCATATGTAGAATATCGCTACCGGGTGTCATTTAACTTCTCACTGAAGAATGCAATCGGACAACCTTCTTGGCTCAACACTGGACTGATCCCTGCCTGTGAAGCTTTACAATCCAACTCGAAGACCTTATCAAAGTCTGGAAGGGCCAACACAGGTGCCTTAGTCATCTTCTGCTTCACCAACTGGAAACTCTTCTCGGCCTCATCAGTTCATACAAACACCCCCTTGTATAAGCAATCTATGATAGGTGCAATGATCTGAAGCCCTCGATAAACCTCTTATAGAAAGTAGCCAACCCATGAAAACTACTAACATCATACATTGTAGTACGCCAATCCCTGATAGGTGCCACCTTCCTTTGGTCAACTTTAATACCCTCAGCCGAGACAAAATATCAAAGAAAGATTAAGATGTGTATCATGAATTCACAATTCTTAAGATTAACACATAGTCGTTGTTCTCGTAACAAGTCAAACACCAACGGCAAATGCTCCATATGTGCTTGCTCACCAATGCAGTGTATTAAAATATCATCGAAGTAGACCACCACAAATTCTCCAATAAAAGGCTTAAACACATGATTCATCACCCTCATAAAAGTACTGGGAGAATTTGATAGCCCAAATGGCATCACCAACCACTCAAAAATGCCGTCTCATGTTTTGAATGCAGTCATCCACTCATCTCCTCATCAAATCATGGAAAATCATCCACTCATCTCCTCGTCGAATAATGGAGCCCACCTATCAAATCTATCTTCAAAACAGTCAGTCAACATATCCAACATATCATCAAAGGTGTGGAATTGGGAAGCAGTGTTTGATTGTGATCTTGTTAATAGGCCTACTATCCACACACATGCACCAAGTCCCATCCTTTTTAGGCATAAATAAGGCTGCTACAGTGCAGGGACTCATGTTCTCTCGAATGATAAATCCCTTCTATAGAAGCTTTGTGATCTATCTCTACAATTCTTCATGCTCCTTCGAACTTTTATAAGAGGTCTTGTTCGGTAGGCTAGAGCCATGAACAAGGTCTATGTGATGTTGGATGTCCCTCATGGGTGGTAACCCATCGGGTCAGTCATATGGAATTACACCGTTATAATACCTCATTAAGGGCTCTAATTGTGGTGGAACCAAACCAACAAGCTGCTCTACTCGGATCATCGGAAATAACATCCTAGACTCCTCCAACCCGTAACTCAACCATAAAAAAAAGTTTAGCACACCCCTCATCGAATTTGGATGCACTTTTCTTCTTAGATGGACCTAAAACCAATTTTACCCCATCTTTGACAAGGAGTAAATATTTTTAACCCATCATGAATGGTACGCCGATCATACTGCCACGGTCTACCCAATAATAAAAGACACGTATCCATGGGCACGACATCACCCCATACCTCATCGTTATAGTGCTTTTCAATAGAAAAAGAAACTAGACGACATTTAGAAACTGTTAACTCATTTCCAAATTACCAAAGGCTTCCCATGGTCACGAATGTCACTTTAGGCTCCTCTCTCAGGTTCCTCATCATAAACAGGGTCTTCATCGAAACATAGTTCGTTGTCCTCTTCAAGAAACTACTTAGCAAGATTCACAAATTTTCAATTTGGGCATCGAGAAGAGACGTTTGATTCCCGAACATTTAAAGCACTCAATGATATTGCTATTTGGACAACTCGGGCGATAAGCACTGGCCCCAACACCCACTATATCTTGCTGTTTGGACAGATCAGCAGGTCGCGAGGACTGTTCAAACAGACCAGTTCCAACTTTTTCCCTTGAATTCGCTTCCATAGCCACTTGTACTACCCTAGTCTGTGCTCCACCTTGATGATCGACGCCTCTGCGGAGCTTCAACCTTAACCGCTAGGTACTAAGCTTCATCTAAGTTGCAGTGACACTGTAAAACCACCACATCTTGTATGAATGTCCTCAGCCAACCAACATAGCAAGCTAGGGACTGCTCTTCTCTTTCAACCACATCACTAAGAGACATGAACTCATAAAATTCATTTGTATACTCCTCTATGATCTTCTCTCCCTGAAAAAGGTTATTCCTCCAATGATAAAAGAATTGTAGATATTTTTCAGGTAGGTATTTTCCCCTTATTTTCTTTTTCATCTTCCCCTAGGTATTAATTTTGGGATTTATCATTCCCTCCCTTCTATCCATTCCTAAATTGTTCCCACCATGCCAAGGTATCGTTCTTCAACTTTATGGAAATAACTTTTCCCTTTTCACTTTTGGGAACCTCCTTATCAAAAACTCTTTCTACAGTTTTTAACCAATCTATAAACCCCTCAGGTAGGGGCACCATAAAAATCAGGTAAATCCACCTTCAAATAGACATCCCTAGAGATGAACCCCACATCTAGGCCTCTTGCCGCTATCCTCATCACACGACTATAGATGCAACGCGCAACGGCAAAATAGGTTGCATTTGAGATCTTCATGGGCCAAAAGACCACCGTCCTTCCCATGATAGATACTCACAAACTGATGCGCCAACTGCTGAACTTGTCTTTAAAGGTCCTCAATTTCTCCATCTCTTGGATAACAAAGTGGGTCTGCGAAAAAACCCTTCCACGGGCAATTCTCATTGCCATTGGTTTGCAGAAATCACAAATCCTAGGCAGAAAATCAACAAAAACTCAATGAAATCAACAACAACTAGGCTGAATTTAGTAAAATTTGACTCAAAAACAGCAAACCTTAGAGTTAGTTGTAGTTTCTTGGCCTTGTTATTTGAAAAAATCATGAATCGGACAGCAAATTGATGTAGGGAAATTGATGGAAACAGTAAAATCATCAAAAAAACAAGCCAAACACAAACATCTATTCGAAGAAACCCTGGGTTTCTTCTCCACACCCAAGCTAAGGTTTCAAAGCCTAACCTTTTCTTTTGCTTTACTTAAAATCACGTGGTATCCCTCCAAGCCCCCAGGCACCAGCTTACATTCTTTATTTAATGTTTCAAGGAAGTTATTTTTTATCCATACAAATAAAAAATTGACCCCCATGTCCTAACTTAACCACCAAAGTCCATAATACCCTTGAGCTAACTTAGAATAACTAAAACAATCCCAAATCAACCCATCATCATAGCCTTTTCCCAATTAATTGGAGTCAGCTACACGAATCCCGGTCTGCTATTTTCCTCTATTAAGGGTCATATCCTCAGTGAACGTAAGTCCCCATATCTTTTCTCACTACTTCCAACCATGTCCTTTTGGACCTATCACTTATTCTTTTTGAGCCTTCCACTTGAACTAACTTGCACCTCCTAACAGGTGTTGTACTGGGTGTGCGCCACACATGGCCAGCCCACCTAAGTCTACCCACTCCCATCTTATCACCTATTGGTGCCACACCTAAATTTTCCTGAATGGGTTCATTTCAAATTCTATCCCTACTTGTCTTGCCACTCAGCCATCTCAACATCCTCATCTCCATTACACTCACTCTATAGGTACATTGTTTTTTGTCTACCCAACATTTTGCCCCATAAAGCACTCACAGCTGTCCTAAAGAATCGTGCTCTTCAACTTCATTGGTAGGCGATGATCACATAAAATTCTGGTTGCAAAATGTAACTTAAAAATAAACACCTCAACTATAAATATAATTTAAAAATAAACACCTCGACTTCAAACAAAATTCCCCGAAAGTTCCTAATTGGTCAAGTAAAAAAAAATAAAAAATCTGAAAATACCCTATAACGGCTAGAAAAGTATCCCAAGCAATGCTTGCTCTTCCCCTCCTAGGGTTTACATCCTCCAAGTATGCATGAGAAGGAGGAATATGTTGCTCCCAAAGAAGATACTCATTGCCCTGACCACTTGATACACTTTGCGCATCATGACAAATAAACTCACACCCAAACATATTCCAAAATTCCGTTGGAGGATTAGTTTCCTAAAACAGCACCACAAACTTTACGAGTGTTGTGAACTAACTTCTCAGATGAATTCTCTTATTGGGTCTACTACAATGCTTGACTTTTGTACACCAATGAACACCACTTATGATTAGTAGTAGAAAAGCAAAGTTATTAAAGTTCATCGGCTCAACAATACTCATTTATGAAAAAAACTATTCAACAAAAGTAAACAGAATAACTAAGCTCAAGCAAGTCATTATCCTTCTCAAGAAGAAAAGTAACCCATACAATATCACTAAGCAGGTCAAACTTTGACATTCAAATTGCCAGGATGCAACACAACTTCTTGGATCTTGGATTTAAACAATATATCCAAGTTGTACATTCCACACATGCCTGAATGTGACAGTTCAAACATAGAAAGCAGCACATGTGCAGGTTTCCATGATGTACATGTTAAGAATTCAATATTTTGTAACTTTCTCACACTCCCAATGCCCCCAATTCATAATAAATCAGACTCCCAGCTTGATTCCCTTTTTTTGTGATTGGTAACTAATACATGTATTAGAAAAGGAAAAAAAGATGTAAATTAGCAACATCAAAGAAATGCCAAGTTAGAAGTTTATTTTATCACGAACACAATTCTGAAGGGAAGGAAATAACATACTTTAAAAGACGTGCTAAATACAGAATGCTAACAACGAGAAAATTATATGGACTAGATAATGCAATGAATACCTTTCATGTAAATCGCCTAGACACCTTTTCATAACGCAGAAAAATATCTCAATTGACACTGGGGGTTTTCATTAAACAGGAGGAAGCAAGATGTGAACTTGACACAGTATGCAAAACAGCGATAAGGATCCTTACTTAAAACACAAAATAGGGCACTTTCAGGGAGGCAAAACGTCAAATAAAGGTGGCATTAATAACCAGAAAATAAAGTAATGTAACTTTCTAAGTAGAACATACCCCATAAATTGATTGCTCAATATAGCCTGCAGTCATGAGGTTCCAAGCAAAAGGAATTGTCCTGCAGAATTAGTTTGATGAAAAGTGTTATTAATCATAGCATATGAAATTATAGCAACATTTCCGTTAGTATCTACAAATGGACAAAATACTACTTGGCATATATATGACTTCTTGGACAAACTCAGGGGGAGATACTAACAAGAGAGAGTGGGTTCAATAGAGAGTATGATTTTTTATTTTTTATTTTCTGTAGTAGTTTAACAGTATCGTATTTATGTAGAATAGAGTTACATGAATCTGGCCCTATACAATTGACTTTAGGGTGGCAGTTTGTACAAAAAAAGAAAAACCAAAGTGCACTGGTGGCATTCAACTTAGTCCAAGTTTTGGGTGCCAGTGCCCCAAGGCATTGGCTTTTGCATTTCCCTCCCAATTGAACTTAGTACAAAGTTTTGGGCCCCAGCTCCCCAAGGCATTTGCATTTGCCTTCCTCCATAAGTCTTTAAAGTTGACTTTTAGTGGCCTTGTTGCCTCTCAATTTGTTCGAAAATGGATTCTGACCTCCAGTGGCGGGGAAAAGGCCTCCACGCCCATGAGATAACATTTTCTAAGTCCCTTGACACAACAAGAGCCCTAGCAATGGTCGAACAACCTCACTCTTTCTAATAAAGCACTAGCTTCAGCAAACATGGATTTTGCATTCCTATTGGGCAGAAAGCAGAGTAGGGTCAGTCATTAGGTATCTTGAAAAAGCCTTCTACCTCACCTAGGCCAGGGTTACTGAATAAGCAACTATTGAAACTTAACTTTATGATGCCCACACTCCAAAGAGACCCATAGGTTAGATCTCGATGGTACCATTGGCCTTGAACCAAGGATATCAATTCAATTTTTCTTAAAGTCTATTTGGGCCAAACACCTCAACCTTAGTTGCCAGCATCTCCTAAGATGGGTGGAGATCCCGCTCTGGGAATGCGATAATAGAGCAGGATCACGGTCCGGCCGCTATCCCATGTTAGGGGAGCATGAACCCAATCACACCCATATTGTTCATATTTTTTAAGGATAATAAGCAATAAATGCCTAACCATCAAAAATAAATGCCTAACCATCAAAAGAAAAGACAGCAATAAATGTGCCTCAGGAAAAAAAGGAAAGTAAAATAATTACTAAAATCAATGAAATCTATAAAGTATTCAAAAAGAAATACAGTCATCAATTTACATCAACCAAAAAGAGAAAGTTTTACATTCAATGCTCCCAAAGTAATATAGGGAATTGGGTTCAAGTGTCCAACATATGTCACAAATGGTTAAAGGACTTTAATCTGTCATCTTTGAAAAGCAGAGGTGTATGAGAGAGGATGATCTCTCTCTCTCCCATCTCTCACTATCTTTTTCTCTCTCTACTGTAAGCTTCAAGTTCTCTCTCTACTGTAAGCTTCAAGTTCTCTCTCTCTCTCCCATCTCTCACCAAAAAGAGAGAGTTTTACATTCAATGCTCCCAAAATAATATAGGGAATTGGGTTCAAGTGTCCAACTTATGTCACAAATGGTTAAAGGATTTTAATCTGTCATCTTTGAAAAGCAGAGGTGTATGAGAGAGAATGATCTCTCTCTCTCCCATCTCTCACTGTCTTTTTCTCTCTCTACTGTAAGCTTCAAGTTTTCCCCTTACCCCCCCCCCCCCCCCCCCCCCAACAATTGAAATGAAGTGGGACATGTGAAGGAAAGGGTAGGACTTGTATATGATTAGACCAAAAGTAATATCCTTAAATATAATCTACAATGTAAGATCAAATAAATATCTTTAGTATATTACAAGTTAAATAACTATAAGTACTCACACTCAAATTTTATTTGAGGAAATTTCTTGATAAGTATAATAAATATATTTCTAATATACTATGCATCTATATTTTTAAAAAAAATGTGATTCATCTTTTACATTTTGAATTCCTGCCTTTGTTAATATTTCATGTATGGGTTCTCCATAATTAGCAAGAAACAATCCCCAGCACCCAAGCCTTGCCCTAAAGGGCTACTTTTCCTCTTTTCCACTTATGATCCTAGCTTTCAACTGGCTGGCATCGTCTAAGAAAGTTCTCACGATGGACAACCTTTAGAGAAGGGGTATACCCATAGCTGGGAGTCTTGGCTGGAAGGGGTTGTGGATCATATCTTTGCTTCAGTTATCTTTTGGGCCCAAAATAGGAGTTTAGGTCAAATATATGATCCACAACCCCTTCCAGCCAAGACTCCCAGCTATGGGTAAACCCCTTCTCTAAAGGTTCTCAATCGTGAGAACTCTCTTAGACAATGCCCACCAGTTGAAAGCTAGGAGCTTCAGTGGAGCAGAGGAAAAGTAGGCCTTTAGGGGCAAGGGCTAGGGTGTTTGTATCCAGGTTGACTTGGGAGAAGGTCTGGTAAAAGGAAAGCACTGAGAAATCACCAAAAGATGCTGGGAGCTAAATCATCCTATCAAGCCCAAATCTCACAATAAATTCCATGTTAAGAACATTGTTTCAGAAAATGGCCCGCTCAGCACCTAGGTGCCCAAAGATTTACAGGCTGTCTCACCTAGGCTTGGGCAGGCCATCTCAGCCAAAAGTTCTTGGGGCACCCCTAGGCGGGCTAAGCAAGCGCCTAGGAACTTGCATAAAAATAGCGGGAAAAATTTTTTGTAGGGCCATTTGTGGTCATTTTATTCCATGAAGATGGGGTATTCTAACCCCCCAAAGTCAAAAAAACTCTTCCTATGCCCATATAAACACCCAAATTAATCATTTTTTGAGTTCTTTTGAAACAAAACTGTTTTTTAGAAGTTCGTAGAATCATCCAAACCCTTGCCATTTCTTATTGCAATCAATTTTAGGGGTCGACATGAGGTCCTTAGAAGACTTTCAGGGTGATTTTGAGCTTGTTAGATGACCAAAATATTGAAGATAAAACATCCAAAACATTGAATAATTAAAGATCTCCTCTTTCTACTCATTTCTATTATTCTATAGCATTTGTAGTCAAACACCTTTTTTTTTTTTATGTTGTTAACTGTGTTGTCGAACATCATCTCTCATTGGGGACTTGGAGTCTATGAGTACGACTATATTATGGGGTATGGACAACAACAAATCACTAAGACACTGCATTTTTTCGCTATTTTAGTTATTCAAAGAAGTAAAAATTTTAGTGATTTGAACATGTTTCAACATTCACACGCATATATTTGTATGAAAGAGTTAGTTAGAATTCATATAAATGCATAAATATACATATTTGACACATAGAAAGCCTCTTCTCCACCCTCCTTTCCATGCCTTTCCCTCATAATGGCAGAAAGCTGTGGCAACTTTCTGTGGTAGCCCTCCTTTGGGGCATTTGGCTGGAAAGAAACTCAAGAACCTTTAGGATAAGGTCCGACCCTTCTATCGTTGATTCAGTAACCTCCCTCATTTCCTCTTGGGCAAACCTTATCCCTATCTTCGCCAATATTCCGATCAACAACTCCTTAAATAACTGGGACTCACTTTTGACTCTCTCAACCCAACCGCTGCAATCCAAGTGAACTGGACCCCCCCTCCACCAGCCAGGCCACCTGAAGTTGAACATAGATGGCTCCTCTGGGCCCTCAGCATACGGAGGCACAATGGCCAACTCAGAAGGCACCATCCTTTCTTTCTCAGGGTATATTGGAATCATAGATTCCACTGCAGCTGAAGCCCTCGCCCTAAGTGAAGGTCTTAAACAAATCAAGCTTCTTCAACCACAGCCCCAAGGTCTCATCATTGAATTAGATTCTGTTTCCTGGGCCACACGAACATCTCAGCCCCCATGGTGCCTATCTCACATATTTGAGCACAAAAAAACAAGGGAAAAAGAAAGAGGGGAAAAAAAAGGTCGAGAAAAACATAATTAATTTTTTTTACTATTAGTCTTTTTGAATCCTTTCTCAATCTCTTATGGCTTTCTTTCCCCCTCTCTCTCTTTCCCCCATCTTTCTCCTTCTCTCTCTTCTTTTAAACTCTCAATCTCTCTACCCCTCATGTTATCCTCTATTCTCCAATACCCCTCCTATCCTCTTTACTCTTCCCCCTTCATTTCCTCCCTCTCACCAAACCTTTTTTGCCAACTCCTCCCACCCCTTCTCCTAGTGCTGCTTCTTCTCTCTCACATCTTTATCCCCTTCCTCCCCTCTTCTCCTCACCATCTTTCTCTTTCTTGTTTCACTTCCCCTCTCCTTCATCTCTTCTCCCTCACCTCCCATCTTTCGTCTGCCCTTTGGGTGTGCCCTGTCGTCGCCTTACATCACAAGAAGAGCCTGTGTGGCCCTAGTTGTTGCCCCAAGGTGAAGGTGTTGCCGCTTTATATTATGAGAAGACCCTGTCTGGCCCAAGTTGTTGCACCTTTGAATATCAGATCTTTATTTATGCCTTGTACACTATTGAGTTTCTGGTTTTTCAAGTCTCGCTTTGTATTACTTATATTGGTTTCTCTTTATCTTTTATTTGGTCGATCTCCTCCCCCCCTCCACCTTCTTTTAAACCCCCAATTTTTCTCACTCAACATCCCTTTCTAATCTGTACTTTGAGCACCCAGCTTGTGGGCTGCCTCTATCTTACTTATTTTACATGCAATTTCCCTTATGTTATAAAGTTAACCGATTCTCAAAAAAAAAACGCATATATAAGCGTATATGTGCATTTGGACAGCACATATGAGCATATCTTCACTGGCCCCTTGAGGTTTTGGACGGCCACCTAGGCACTGGGCGCCTTAGACCCCCCAGGCACCTAGGGACCACCCAACGTTTTTTAAACCTTGACCAAGAAGATCCAACAGAACTGGAAAAATGGAGAATCTCCCAGTCTGTGAGATTCCTCCTAAAACTGGAGACCAAACTAATAATTCCTAATTAGTTCATATGACCAGGCCACTGTAGCGCCTTGGGGCCTAGAGAGGGAAAACAAACTCAAGAATCGAGAACCTAGTATAGTCTCCCTGAGCCACAGATCTTTCCGCAGTCGAATTGTTTCCCCTATTTTAACCTTAAACCGTATCC